ATTTCAGAAAGTATTTCTTTACGCAGCCACTAGCCTACACACATGGCACTGCCAAATTTGAAATTTGAAATTGTGCATAGGGTAAGGGTAAGCAGGGGATCGAAGAACGGGGCGAGGATGCAGAAATCTTGAGCGAGGACCAGGAGACTAGGTGAAGAGGGGAGGTAAGGATCGGTAGCCCAACCACCGCCGATTTGAACTTGAGTTGATTGCAGTTAGGTTGAGTAGGGCCTCATTTGCAGTAACAGTGCCATTTTGTTAATAAAATGATTATCAAAAGAGACAAAAAAGACCAGTATCAAATGCTTTAAAACATCAAAATACTAACCTTATAATGCAGATTTTATACCCACATTGTTCAAAATGGAAATGAAACGGCTGTATATATCAAGGGGAATGAGAACAAGGATGCAACAATTCTTCATATCGCACGCGGTGGTAGAGTTCCTTCCTTATCGCTATCATCACTTGAATCAAACAACGATAACTACAATACTTATCATGCGTAGTTCCTCACACGACGATATTGCATGCTGAAAGAATGCTTCAGCATGCAATATGAATGAATGGACCATTCTTTCAGATGGTCCAGCACGCTAGACCATCTGAAAGAATAGTTCGGAAAATGACTACTTAAGTTTAACTCAAGTGGAAAGCAATTAGGTGTAAGGAATAGAACACCGGATACAACGTACTAAATTAAAGATGAAACCTTTAAAGAATCAAGTAGAGATAAAGACCTGGAGTTTGATATAACACCGAACTAGTCTCCTGAAGCCCACTATAGACTAGTACCTGAACTCAGAGGCATGATTTACGAGGAAAGGTAAAAGGAATTAAGCCTCGTCACTGGAAGACAGCTGATGGGAATGTACAAGAGAGGACTGTACACTGTAGCATCTTTGTACCAGGTAGCTGATGCATTAGAGAGAGCTGTATAATGTAACATCTCAGCCTGTCAACTGATTTAGACGTGTTAGAGAGAAGGCTGTATGTTTGCCCAAAAACTGGTTCCGTATTTTTTGTTATAGTAGCAATGCATTTAAGATAAATGTATTTGACTATTTGACTTGATTCTTCCTTTATGCCGGTCTGCCAGACTTGTGAAGTCTGTTAGACTTGCAAATATTTTATTATATACCAAAAATACAAGAGAACATATAATTTCTGGATATTCGGTAAATCTATAGTTAACATCGTAGGTTTTCACCTTTCAAAATATTACATTTTCATCTATAAAACATTACGCTAGATATAAGTTATTGCCCTATACAAATTCTAAAGGCAAATAACACACAAAAGGGATGATGCAGTCTTCCCAACCAGACAAGAGACAGAAGGGAATAACCATAGGTTGGGATGCTCTTATCTTACTGTGGATACAAGGCTTCATTTCCTGTCGTGGCACATGACAACCTGGCCGTGAGAGTGAAAGTTGAATGGTTTATCTGGTAACTGTAAGTACGCAGGCAGGTGATGGCAGTGAAGGTGAGTTGTTAGGATGCAAGTGGGCCGCTCTTGTGCAGGTGGGTTATTGTTGCTGTTATAGATTCAGCAACTGGAAACAAAAAGTTCCAAGTAGCACGGGCTATGCTGAGCCCGTAGCGGACTTTCCTGGCACAGGAGCGGGCTGTAACTTAGCAGGTGGGTTGCAGTGGTATAGTTAAGGTGGTGGTAATGGTCAGGTGGGAGGTGAAGGTACAGGTGGGAGTACAGGTGGAAGATGGGAGTGCAGGTGGGAGGTGTAGGTGGACGGGAAGTATGGGTAGGGTGGGTTATATAGGTAGGGTTGGCGGTGTAGGTGGTGTTGGAGGTATAAGTGGGAGTACAGATAAAGTTGGAGGCACAGGTGGAAGTACAATCTGAAGTTGGGAGTGCAGGTGGGATGGGGTGGTGGAGGTGGGAGGTGTGGACGTGCTGGTGTGATTGTTGTCAAGCAGCCAACAAAGCAGCTGGACATTAGTACGGCCGAGCCAAAATATTCCTATATTGCCTAAATAGATTTCGGGCACATTCACACTGACATATAAAACAATTAATCCTCGCTTTATTAAAGTTTCTGACCAAGCTACAAGTCATGCAAGTGACCTAACGCCACAAAACTCAAAAAATCACAATATTCGAGGATATAACAACCAAAACTAGTATGACGAGTTTTTTTTGTCGAGAGACGTTGCCGGAGCTCGGCAGGACTCCAGTGTTCGTCAGTAAGGAACGTTCAGTCTGTGTGGTAGTCATACACACGTGTCAGGCCGAGTTGAACGCCTTTGTGAGGGTCAGCTAAGTCGAGGGGCGTCTAGTTGACTAACATAGTGGCACTTCTCTGTCCGGAGATTTTTGATACACTTGATTCTCTATTCTCTTGTGGAGGTCTAGTGATGAAAGCTCTTGACACTGGATAGGGGACTGCATTCTTAGTGTTAAATATTGCATAATGAAAATAGAGTTAATCTGTATGTAACCTTGATCTGTGGTCCAGTGCGTTTTCTTGTGGTGGTCGAATTGACGTTCCTCTGGAGAAGACACCATGGGCATGTTATTACAGTGCCTAGGTTCTTTTCTCCACTGGTTGCGTGAGTCAAGTACCTTCGTAAAGTGGCTGACAAGCGGCAAGGGCGCCTCAACGAAGTGGTGGGTGACGACGTCTTTGAGGTCTGACGATGACAGCTTGAGATGTGTTGGCTTCAAAGGAGATGTGATCTTCTTCGGTGAGCAACTTTCCTGTTGGGTGAGGCTTTGTAGCTTCACGAAATTGGCCCCGGATCCGCTGTACTCTAGAGGAGTTTTTGTGTGCACCAAGATTACAGTAGATAAAACTTAAAGGCTAACGGAAATGACTGTGATAACGGAACGCAAACAAGTAGAGAAAGATTAAAATAAACGATGCTCTTGTAAGCCGTGTTCCCACTGAACAGATCAAACAAACCAGATTCAGAAACATTGCTGAATGATTGATAGTTTACATTTAGGTAATATTAATTAGTAATTAATATTAATTAACATTTAGTAATTAACATTTAGGTAATTAATATTTAAGTAATTAGTATTAAGGATTATTACATTAATATTTTATAGATTATAATCACTTCTTATCATTTCTAGATAATCATTAAATTCACTAATAATTTCAAAATTTAATTTCTTTATGTATTTTTATATCTATGGTAAATGTTATATTCTTTAATTGATCTGTACGTATTCATTACATACAGATAAATTAAATTAAATAAGAGAAATTTGCTGGCAACTGGATAACAAAATTGGTGTCGATGGTAACTGTCACAGTGGCACATGTAATTGTGCCATATTATTTTATCTGCTTTGGGTTTAACTCAAATTCAGATTCAAATGTTTATTGCGGTAAAAGTACATACATAGAAGATGAGTTACAAACATTGGATTTATGCACTATATTCAAACTGCCACAACCATTGTAGCAGTTTGGCACCAAAATACTACAAATCGGTAAGTACTGCCACCACCAAACCCTAAACACTACCTCCACCAAACCCAAAACACTGCCACCACCAAACCCTAAACACTGCCACCACCAAACCCAAAACACTGCCACCACCAAACCCTAAACACTGCCACCACCAAACCCTAAACACTACCCCCACCAAACCCAAAACACTACCCCCACCAAACCCAAAACACTGTCACCACCACCAAACCCTAAACGCTACCCCCACCAAACCCTAAACACTGCCATCACCAAACCCTAAACACTGCCACCGCCACCAAACCCTAAACACTGCCACCACCAAACCCAAAACATTGCCATCAAGGCCGCTACGACATACTGGAGAGTCTTGGCGCCGACCAAAGAATTGTTGAGACGCCTGACACTGGCACGGGAAGACGGAAAACCTTTAGTATCAGTAGACCAGTCTGTCAGAGAACTGCACTTGTGGAGAGAGGTGTAGGAAGTGACATAAGAAGTGACTAACGTTTAGGGAGAGTGAAACTTCCCTGACGTTTACTTAGAAACACTTGCAAGAACTAATTTGATTGGCGTTGTTTGGCGAAACTTTGAATTACGTCTAATATGGCTACTTTGATTTCTGCTGACATATTTGTGCCATTCATTCAACAGCGTCTGAAGAATTAAAGAATCGGTTATAACTGTTTACTTTTATTTAGGAAGGCCAGATGTTATAGCCGAGAATATAAATTTATTTCACGTAAGCTTACGTGTATCATATCATAAAAGATTTGTAGAATTTGATTAAATAAAAAGTAACATGAAAGATTATGCTGACGAGACGCACAATCATGCATACGAAGAATTCTACATGATTGTAAGTAAAAATGTCTCATCCCAAGTTTTTCTTAACAAAATAAATAATATTACAAGACGCGTATAAACATCGAGAATTAAAGTGTAGCACGGATGTGCTAAGCCCACACACCGCACCGTGCCTCTATAAATTTAAATTTGTAGAAACGCGGAAATGTGATCATTGGTTTGTCTACAAACATTTGCAGAGTCCGATAGCAGAGCAGCCGGGCACAGTTCTTTATAATTCCTTTAATGTGACTTGTGGCGCCTCCATTTAGAACAGATCGGAAATTGCTCCCGTTATCCTTTTGAATTACCCGGGGCTTACTAAACTATGAGAAAAAACGGACTAGGTGCTTAATTTTAGTCCAGATATTCCGTACAGCATAGGCTTCCGAAAATCTTGTCGTCAGACACATTATAGTGAATATATAAATGTTCCCAGACGATCTCCACAACAAGCCTCATATAAATAAAAAAATAATTGAATTGATCAATGATTTACATAATTGTGGAGGGAGGCCTGGTAATCATGACTATGTTAACAACACATGCTGCTCTTCTCTTCAGACGTCCATGTGTTAACCAAAATGTCCACATACATTTGTATTTGGAATGTAATTTGTCTAATTTTTTAGGATAATTTGTTTTTAAGATATTTAAATTTTGTTTTATAGTATCTTGGATAGCTGTCTTTAATCTTATATTCTGCCTCCATTCAGGCACAACTTTACAAATGATCACAACTATTAACAAATATGTATACGACAAATGATATACCTACGTGGATATTGCGTTTAACAACTTTGTATCCTAGCACATGACTGTATTTCGATACCAGAATTAGGACATTAAAGTAATAAACTGTACATTCTTCAATATGTTTGGTGGACAATTAGAGCTCAAAGTAAGATGAATGTGTCAGGATAATAGAAGACACATCTCACAGGATGGCAAGATGCTGAGGGTGCTCACGCCAGTGTCCTCAGCACTCAGCACGCGAGAGCACGTGTCAGTGTGACCAGTGGGAAGAAGCATTTTTTTGGAAACCGAAGCATCAGTGTGATTTTAAGTGAAATGTTGTGTCAGTGATGTTACAGTAACAGACTACTGAGGTTCTTACGTTGTTGAAGACGCGTGATGTGAAGTGATTGGTCTGGTCAAGTGAGGTGTGTCTTATAAATTGTCATCATCCCCTGGTGTGAGGACGTGTAGGTTACCTGTCCTGGCCGGCGATGGATAAGCGGTTCCTCAGACCTCCCCCCATAGTGGGCATCCGGGGCTTCAAGAAACTTTTCGGTGAGGCACTTATCATAACTGTGTTTTATACGTTTGTTCAACGCCATGTAGCTCATGAGTCACGCTGCACGCAAGACTGGCATGTTTCCAAGTGCAGTTGGCTCCTAATGTGCTGTCGTATATGAATTCATTGATAATTGTTCTTTGTAAGCAGCTGTCTTGCAAGAAAGATGTGCGTTTAATTGATGGCATCATCTCGTAGGGCCTCGACGGGGACAGGAAGCCGGCGGCTTGTTAAAGTTCCCCCATTATTAACTTAATGAGGATTTTTTTTTCAGATGAATCTTGTTAAGCGCTTTGTTTTGGTTTGTTAAAATAAATAACGTTATAGCTATACTTGATCTAAAACAAAAAAGAAATGTTCAATATAATGAAATATCCAGTAAAAAAAAAATTCGAGTGTAGGATAGGCTGTGTCAGACGGCATAAATATATGTTCACAGAATGATACCTGGAGGGGTTGGTATTCCTGTTGGTTTACCCGGCCCGAGTATTATCAAAGAGGGGGAGGGGGGGGGGGTGCGCTGATATTTGGGGCAGTGGCAGCCCCTTACCCCCCCCCCCACCTTCCCCATGGGATGCCACATTAGCAAGCGGGGAATACCCCATCTCTGTCACCCCTTATGGCCAACTGGGAAAATTCTAAAGCTGTTGGAGGTTGGAAGAGGGCGACTGTTGGGGAAGGTATTCAGAGAAAATATATCGAAATAGGTAGGTAGGGACGCGAGTCTTATTTTCCTCGGCGTCACCCCTATTATATAAAAGGAACCATCGGAAATGCATCCGAGGTGCCGTGTGGCTTGTAAGAATACAATATTAATTTACAGAAGGGACTCAGGAAAGACAGAAATGCCAGCTACATTATAAAGCCTTCACCACTAAGAATATTTCACATTTTAATTGAAACAAAACACTACCTGTCTCCCAGTCCGAGCGCCGAACTTGCACACTGATAAATTCTATAATTAACAGTTTAGCAAATTATGCTTAACGTTTAACATACCATCAGGAAGACAGATATAAGAGTTATTATGAATCTATGACAAGGAATATAACTAATCGGAGAGCAAAGATATGATTGTTTAAATAAGGGTTTCTTGACGCCTGTAAAATGATCAAAGCTACCCGAGCTAATCAAAGCTAATTACAAAACTGTAATTATGTAAGTAAAGTAGTTTTTTTATTTATAAAATTAACAATTTAGTACAAATAAAGACGGGAAAACAATTTACAAACATAGAACACTGAAACAGACAGGAATTTGAAAAACATAACACACATAACCCAGAACCTTGAACAGCATACAGAACAGAAACGCAAACGGAAAAAACAATAAGGACAAAAAAGCAATGAACAAATTAACATAAAACAAAACAAGCCAGAAGGGCTACACAAAAACCAAAGCATACAAACACAAAACCGGAACACACAGGAACCGGGAGGCGGAAAACCAGAACTTTGGCATAAAATGAACCACAAGAAATACAAGGAGAAAATACATGACACAGTAAAGAAGAAAACCCCACAGCCACACACCAGAACAAACACCGTTCGCGCAGGAACCGGAAAAACAAACCACAACCACACACCCAAACCCACAAACATTAACACCGGAACACGCAGGAACCGGTAAGTAAAATAGTAGTAACCTTTGTCGAGTCAAGTGAACCAAAACATGATCCCTAATAACTGAAAAACACCTTGCTGAATCTTGTATAGGGGTCTCCTTACATATAGTTCCTAAGAACCTTTGTGACACGACCATATAAGAAGACATGATTGACAGTTAGTAAATCTAGGTCTTGTTTAATAAATGCAAAGCTGCCATGATTGTGGAAAGATGCACAGGTTTCGTATGTGAACACTTAAAGTGCCTGATGAATCCAGATTGTTCTTGGCCCATCGACTGACTGTCGGATCTAATTAAAATGTATGGAGTTGACCTGGAGCTGCCGTGAGGTACAGACGTGTCTCGCTTGGCCTCTGGTGGTTTGGGGTGTTTGCCGTTTTCGTCGCCAGGGGGTGTGGGCTTCTCCCCCCCCCCCCTGCTATTGCTGCCTGGCTGAGTGTTGACGTGGCGGTACTGACATGGGGAGCCATCTCCCTCCTGTTCTGTATGTAAACTCCGTTGGACTGCAGTTCACGTGTAAGGCTGGATATCCGACCATTGAGTTGGTCATGTGTGATATGCTTCGTATCCCGGTCTAGGCTATCTACGGTATTGAGCTTGTTACTGCCCACCGGGTGGTTGTCAAGTTCGTGAGGGAAGAGGAGTACCGTGACTTCCTTCATCGGTACGAGGGGCGCACGTTGCCGTTGTCAGATGCTGCCGGCTCTGTGGTGATCTCGGACCGCAGTGGTGCCCTGACTTATGTCAGTGTCCACGGTGCGCCCCTGGAGTTGCTTCGGGGGCGTCGCCTGCGACGGATGGCTCAGGTTTCACGTGGGAGGTAGTTCCCCCTGCTGAGGTTCGTGGTGAGCGGGGGAGGGGGGGGATCCTGGTAGTGGTGTTGAGAAAAGATGCTCACTCTGGGGGTTCTGGGACCCCTTCCTCGGCAGCTGTCTTGCCGCCTCTTCCGTGTCTCCTGCGGTCTCAGTGGAGGTGCTACCGTCTCGTCAACTGTTCCCTGTTCCTGTGCGTACGACGGCGAGGCAGTCTGTTACCCTCGTCCGCATCTTCGGTGTCGTCTGCTTCCTCGCAGGGCGTGGTTGGTGCTCTCCGGCCTCGTTATGCGACTTGCGTCAGTGACCTTAAGCGTTGGCCGTTGCCGCCTGTTCTGGATGTTCCATAGTTTGATACCCCCCTCGGTCGAGGGGGATCCGTAACCCTTCCCACCTTGAGGATTTGATTTTGGGAGGCTTATAAGAAGTATCCTTAAGATTTTTTCCCTGAAAAGTACGCTTCTACCTCTTGAGGACTATGTTCCTCGCATATGATTTTGTATTTTGTGTATCCTTTTGTGTGCGTGGCTGTGGGGTGTGGGTTGGGTGGGTTATGCTTCCCGGTTCCTGCGTGCTCCGGTTTGCGTTGTGGGTTTCTTTGTATGGCTTGTTTGTGGGTGTATGGTTCCTGTGCGTTTGTGTGTCCGGTTGTGGATGTCGTGTGCGCTTGTTTGTCATATTGCGTGCCCTTTAGGCTCTTGGCGTGTTCCGGCCAAGGTTTATGCTCTTCTTGTTTTGCCATTATGTTTTGCCTCCAGTTTGTTTGGGAGGTCTGTTTCTTGTATTGTTTTTATCTTTATTATTGTGTGTTTATCGTTGTGTTGGTGCATCTCCATCTGTTTGAGGTGTTGGTAGGCTTGTTATGTGTGCGTTTTGTTTTGGTGTTTTCCCTATGCTTATCTTCCGCTGTTTTTTTTTTTTTTTGTGTGTATGCGCTTTTGTGTTTTGTGGTCAGCCCTTCCGGTTGGTCTTATTTTGATTTGTTCCTTTGTCCGTGTACATGTGTGTGCTTTGTGCTTGTGTTCTATGTTTATGCCTTTGATTACCAATCTGTTGCCAAAACGAGTTCCATAGGTTTGTGTAAGTGATGAGAGCGTAAAATTTGCTCAGTTCATTCAGAAGTAACGTCTATCTGCTTGTTACATTTTACACTTGTTTGGTGGTCTAGTTTTATGGGGAGGAGTTGTACAGAAGCTAAATGTTGTTGTTGGAGTGTGTGAATGTTTGGTATTGGTTCGGATATACTAAGGTTGATTATCAAAAGATATGGAACCATATCTTAAATTGTTTCAAGCAAAAATTCTAGAAGATTATGAATATGAATCCCAAATTAGAGTAGCCCACGATAGGTATAATTTTCGCGTTGTCAATTGTTATACATATCTCAGGATCCAGGTAACATTATCATTCATTAGACATGCAAGTTTCCTGCCACATTAGGTTGCAACTTCATTCACAAAACTTGCAAAGGTCAGATTTTCATATATTTTCATTGCTAATAAATTAATTGCTGAACTGTATGTAATTTGTTTCTTGTCTAGCCTGAGGATTAATCAATATTTAGTGCCTTCGGGAAATTGCCATCTTTCTTCCCATTATCTCCTCCCTCTACTTTTGTATACTCTTCCTTTCTTTCATTTGCCCCTTCCCCTTTCCCCCTCTTTTTCTATCTATACCTCCCAACATCGCGACCCCGTCATAAATCAACCAGCAATATCGCTCGTTGGCAACCCACGCTCATTAATCATTGACAAAACATTTTACACGGATTAAAATCGAAAATTAATTAAATTTCAAACACTTTTTCTGTCTTGTAAAGGTTTTGGAGGTTGGCTTTTCACGCTGGGCTGTATCGCTCCGTGTCCACCAACCCATTTAATGGTTGCTCTCGTTGTTGTTGTTGTTGTTGTTATAGATTCAGCTACTGGGAACAAAGTTCCAAGTAGCACGGGCTATGGTGAAACCCGTAGTGGACTTACCTGGCACAAGAACGGGGCTGTAACTTGTCTCTCGTCTCGTTGTTGACAAACTGGATTTATAAGGTACTGCATAAGAAGAGGTGGGTCCACTGAGGTGTCTGAGCGAGTTTAAACCCTGAACCATTAGTGTCTTCGTGACATTTGACTTGACTAAGTGACCTCTCTGAATTTTATCAATTAGCAGTAACAACGTGATATTAGTCAATAGTTGACCTATACTGTCACTGAACAGTAGACGATGTTTTATGGTGTCAATCAATAATAAACGATATCTTTGTGTTTTCACTTACAGGAGAAGTGCATTATTTTTTTCAGTTTTCTTTCTGAATCCAAACTTGACCAAACCCACTAACGCTGACCTGTTCTCTTGCAGTGAAGGAGGGTAACATGTCAAACCCGGCGTCACGGAGAGGGTGAGTACTCGCATCTGGGGATGTTTTACATCAGTAGGCAAAGGAAATTTTAAATTATACTTGATCAATATGCCTGTAGTATGGCATATATACAAAATTGAATCTTATTCCACTTGATAGAAGATACAGGGAAACATGATCACAATATGCAAAATACGCGGGGAAATCGACAAGGCAGGCACGGGTTGTTTGGCATTAGAGGGAAAACAGTGGGGATAATAGTTGAAAGTTAAATTCCAAGTGAGCTATAGGGATGCTTAATAGAATTTCTTCAATGTCAGGGTAGTGAAAAATCGAACAGATGTAGAGAGTGAACTAATGGAGACAGTCTTCATACTCTAATTCGGAAGCAGATGCAATAAAACCCAAGAGATTAGTATAGGTTAAAAGAACATGTATGCGAGTGTATCTTAAGACTGAGAAGCTGAAGTGCCCTCACTTCCTCTTTCCTATACACACGCGCACGTACGTACGTACGTACGGGGCTCGTGGCTGACTGGACAGCACTCTAGACACGTGGACCTAAGGACCTGGTTCGATCCCCACAATTTTTTTCTTTTTTGACAGATGGGCAAAGTTTCCTTCACCCTAATGCTCCTGTTACCTAGCAGTAAATAGGTACCTGGGAGTTAGACAGCTGCTACCTGTGTGTGTGCGTGCGTACTCGCCTAATTGTGCTTGCGGGAGTTGAGCTCTGGCTCTTTGGTCCCGCTTCTCAACCGTCAATCAACAGGTGTACAGGTTCCTGAGCCTACTGGGCTCTATCATATCTACACTTGAAACTGTGTATGGAGTTAGCCCCTACCACATCACTTCCTAATGCATTCCATTTAGGAATGGTGTGTGTGTGTGGAAAAAAAGTTAGTAACAGTTGATTGATTGACAGTTGAGAGGCGGGCCGAAAGAGCAGAGTTCAACCCCCGCAAGCACAACTAGGTGAATACACACACTTGCAATACAGCAGAATGTCATGAACAAAGATGGCCGCCACCACAGGGGAGGACAGCACATCAACAAATGAATGTTTTGAAGGATTCTCGGCACAAGAGCTAATGAAAGAGGGTTTTCTTGGCAGGTTAGTGATTCTTGAGGACATGTTGAAGAAGTGTGAAGAAAAAGTAATTAAATTAGAACAAGAAAATGAAGGTCTCAAGATCGAGTTTGTAATTTAAAAGGAAGTATTTTCCAGCAAGGTAAGGAAATTACCAGCTTGACTGATAAGGTAAGGATACAGGAGGAACACATCAAGGAACTAGTGAAAGATAATGAGGTATGGAAAGTGAAGAGTGGTGAATTTGAAGAATTAAACAAGAAAGTAGACTCGTATGGTGAACAACTCTAAGGAACCTTGAGGGCTATGAACCTTGCAAGGATATGCAAAGAGAAACTTCATTGACAACTCACATAGAGGAGGTTAATAAAGAACTAGAAAAGTATAAAGAAGAAATAAAGGAGACGTATGCGCAAGTTTTAAAAGAGAAAGAGACGATCAAGGAAGTGTGTTTGGAAGTCAAAACCAAGAATGACAAACAAGAAGCAGAAATTAGGCAAGCAATTAGGAAATAACTGGTAACCAACAGTAAACTGGTACAAAACACTGCAGATTGAAGTAAGTCCATAATAATTTTCGGTTGTTTAGAAAAGGAAATATCATCTAGGTTGAACAGAGCAGCAGAGGAGATGAAAATCGTTGAGAAAATAGTAGGTTTAGGAGAAGGCCTAAATTCAAAGGAAAATGGCAGAGTTTAGGAGGATAGGAAAAATATGAGAATGACAAGAACCGCTCCTTAAGGGTGACATTTAAGGGTTGGGTTCCCCCTCACTGTCTGTGAGGGGGAACTAAATGTAATTACCCACTACACATGGGTAATTACATTTAGGTAATTACTCGCTCTCACGCACACACAAGGAAAGGAATCAATCACAAGTGTAAGGAATCATTCAGAATCTTGTACACCACATATGTAAGACCAATCCTGGAGTATACAGCCCCAGCATGGAGCCCGTACCTTGTCAAGCACAAGACGAAGCTGGAAAAAGTCCAAAGGTATGCCACTAGACTAGTCCCAGAACTAAGAGGCACGAGTTACGAGAAAAGGCTGCGGAAAATGCACCTTACGACACTGGAAGACAGAAGAGTAAGGGGAGACATGATCACGACCTACAAAATCCTCAGGGGAATCGACCGGGTAAACAAGGATAAACTATTCAACACTGGTGGGACGTGAACAAGGGGACACAGATGGAAACTGAGTACCCACATGAGCCACAGAGACGTTAGAAGGAACTTTTTCAGTGTCAGAGTAGTTACCGGATGGAATGCATTAGGCAGTGATGTGGTGGAGGCTGACTCCATACAGTTTCAAATGTAGATATGATAAGAGCCCAGAAGGCTCAGGAATCTGTACACCAGTTGATTGACAGTTGAGAGGCGGAACTTTAAGAGCCAGAGCTCAATCCCCGCAAGCACAACTAGGTTACATTACATTATTGAAATTTACACTTAACTTACACAAAGCCAAGGCTTTGTAATTTCAGAATATAACTGAAGGAAGACTTGGCACCAGGGGTGATAACCAAGCATGGTGTCACATGATAAAAATGTCTTTAACTGCTCCTTACCCAAGCAGCCAGCGACTGGTTATATTCAGTGCAACAACACAAGAAATCAATGACTAACAAAGGACTGATTTTATCACACTTTGACGTCACACTAGGACAACAAACAACGCGGGTGTATTTCAAGGATGTATTGCATATTGCACAGTTTCTGTCCCTAATGGCAGCGATCTTTGTGTATGTGTGTGACAGGTCTGTATCAGGAGACGGCCTCTTCCACGAGATGGCGGAGTTCATGGGCCGAGGTCGCGGCTTCACCTCCTACGACCTCATCTCCAGGACTCTCCACCAGGTCAGTCTTACCCTCGGTGCACACTCTTACTTCCACATAAACTCTCATCGGGATAACACCCATTGCTCTCAGTTATCTAACACCTAGCACTGAAAACGTTCACTTAACACTGAGCACGCTTACTTGACAACGAACACGTTCATCTAATAGTGAACAAGTTTACCAACTAATAGCGCACAAGTTTGCCACCTAATAGCGAACAAGTTTACCATCTAATAGTGAACAAGGTCACCTAACAATGAACACGTTCACATGTCATCAGACAGAGGTGTTTTGAGTCATTGGAGAGTCAAAATAATCACAAAGCTACTGGTAACAATATTATTATTAATATAAAATAATTTGTCTCTGGCCCAGCACTGAAACCTATAGGTCATTCAGAGAAAGTGAAAACTTATTTTTAGTTTTAGGAAACTTTTTTTTCTGATTCGAGTAGTAAGACATTTTTAGCATAAGCACATCACAATATCCGAAAGACATTTTAGAGGAGTGACAAGTTTCACAATAACTTTTTTTTTTTTGTATTATCCGAATCAATAATTTTCATTCTTCCCTCCAAGACGCCGAAAGTTGGCGCATTTCGGCAAATTTATTCACCGTTCGTTTTGCAAATTGTTCAGAGTTTACCAGTCCCCGTGGTGTAGTGGTAAGACACTCGCCTGGTGTTCCGCGAGCGCTGTCATGGGTTCGTATCCTGGCCGGGGAGGATTTACTGGGCGCAAATCCTTAACTGTAGCCTCTGTTTAACTCAACAGTAAAATGAGTACTTGTTGTAACAACGATTCTTCGCGGCGGGAATCTTATTCCAGGGACCTGCCCGAAACGCTAAGCGTAGTAGTGGCTGTACAAGAATGTAAAAACTTGTATATATCTTAAAAAAAAAAAAAAAAAAAAAAAAAAGTTGCCACATGTAACTGTGGTATCCTCGTCGAAATGCGCAATAGGCTACCTCGGCCCCTCTCACAACGCCAACTCCTCGCTTTCCATTTAAAAAAAACATAATATTAATAATATTACTAATTTTTGTAAAGTATTTTGTATATATGTGTATATATATATATATATATATATGTATATATATATATATATATATATATATATATATATATATATATATATATATATATATATATATATATATATATATATATATATATATATATATATATACACACACAAAACCTGACTCCAATAACTAATAAATATATACTTCGATAGCTATGAAGGACCACCACTTTTTGAGAAAAAGTGGAAAACGAAATAAGACAATGGAAAACTGATCCCAAGAACTAATGTCCTATGGATCTTAGTGAAACTGCATTTCTTATATAAATGGAGTCAAATTAACTTACACAAAATTGGGGGGTTACATGCTAAAAGATTAATACATCCCTAGCATTATTCTGGTGCTGGTTCTTCACCAGAGTAAATAAAATATGAAAATAAATAAGGTTGATTATATAATATTAATTGGAAGTAAATGCACCTCAATATACTGTTGGATAGAATAATACAGTATATAAATCAATGGGTTAGTGTAATTGATCTCTTTGAGAGATCACTACTGTAACTACAGTTATTGTTACAGATAAAAAAAAGGGACAGCTTAGCTGTAAATCTAGTGAGGTGTAATCAGTTGCTACGCTCCACCGACGACGTGTTGCATAGGGTAAATTATTGCACGGAACGGTGGGAAGCCTAGCACCTCGGTTGGCGTCGCCTTGGTACTGAAAGGCAATTACATTGTAGAAATCTTCTACGTAATAAGTAACTACAAATACATCCTAAATTATGAGGATAATAATGGAAATTATCAGCTAATATCTGAGCAATTTATATTCAAACACTAAATTCTTTTTTATTTTAATGAGAATAATCATCTACAGGTATTTAGATGGTAAATTTACTAAGGACACGTACGGGATTGTATTATTTGTTCTACGGCCTAACGACAACTAGCCCAAATGTTAATTGTGGCCACATAATAACAAAAAGGTAAACCTAGCTGCCGAGCCGCGTATCCGTTGATGTGGAGACTTGAGCAATTCTTCGTCCTCCAGCTGCTGCTTGAAAGACGTTGACTTCGGAATTGCTCATATGCTAGTCTAGGACACGGCTATTGTGCCAGATAACGTGGCACCGCTCTACTGGTCGTGGGAGCGAAATAAGTAGGATCAAACCGTAGCTCTGCTACACGCTGTCAATGGCGTCTGCGTCGTGCTCTCTCGTGTCTAGTGACGCTTTTCCTCATTGCGCATGCGCGGCTCTCGATAGCCATCTCGAGCGTAAATGGATATGTATATATCGCAAATGACTAAAGAAGAAAGAGGGAGTGACGAGTATTAATATCACATTAAATTCCTTTGTGATAAATTAGAATTTCGCATAACATGATTTATTAAAGTTGTGCAGCTAATCGAGGAAATTAAAGTAAAATCATTTACATTAAAGTAATTTCCTCTAGAATGTTTGATATCAACTAAATAAGGGAGCTCCAGTAAGTAGTAGTATACTACGAAATTAAACTTATTAGTAAGTAACTATTTTTAGTAAAGGAAATGATAAACTGAACTCTTGTTATAAATCCAACTAAATGTGGAGAGAATTCATGTTACTGCCTGTCGTTCCTCACGTCACTCTGACTAGGAAGAATCTGGCAATATGTCTAAATAAATCATGATAATGATTAAATCTACACGTTAGTAATTTTAGTAACTACTTGTGGTTAATACAAAGGTTGCATAAAATACAAAGATGTATAAAACTGTTGGTTATTTCCAACTATATATATACAATCGTGCATTATTACCAGTGGATACAGAGGAAGCACAGAATGTCAACAAATATATATAATGTTATGAATTATGTAAAATTCATAACATTATATATTGCAAAATATAAGTGAACTAAATTTATTCGAACAGTTGAAAACTAACTTAAAGTCTTGAGTTCCTTAGAAGCAACAGATCCCGGAAGGAGCTTATACCTATCTTGGCCTTGAAGGCAAAGTCTGTGGTCTATATGAAGGAAATAGAGCTCTTAGGCCTCTCCCGAGCCCGTCCTCTCAATTAATAGGTCGCGTAATTTACGGTTTCGTAACCAAAGTTATAAATTCAACTTATTTGTGAATCATTACTATTTATAATATCTACATTTTCTATGCATTGGACTCGAGAGGTTGGGTGGGTTGCTTAGGTTTGTACGTTTCTTGTTAGGGGGAAAAAAAAAAAAATGCTTTCTACTGACGGGAAAATCGCCAGTAGTAGTTATTGGGAAGACAGGGCACCTAGCGCGTAGCTCTCATCCTGTAACTACACTTAGGTAATTATACACACACACACACACACACACACACACACACACACACACACACACACACACACACACACACACGGTTGAGAGGCGGGACCAAAGAGCCAAAGCTCAACCCCCGCAAGCCCAATTAGGTGAGTGCACACACACACAGCGATGGCCTCCTTATTGTAACACAAGAAACAAGATTTGTGGTATGTGGTTTGAAAAGAATCAAACCCGCTGTGCTTCCCGTAGCTGGCCCGAGATGGCATCAGTGAGGTGTTGAACTCAGCACTTGATCGCCTGGGGATCCACGGCAGGCGGCGCATCAACAACCTAGACGCAGACAAGCTCGCTCCCTTGCATTATGCAGCCCGCTACGCACACGCAGACGCCGTCAGACTCCTCATTCACGCTGGGGCCGAGGTGAACATCCGTGGCCAAGATAAACTAACGCCTCTCCATTATGCAGCCAGGTAATGAGGCTTTGGTGACTCGGTTATTATCCACGTGTGTCAATATTGATTTCAATCTCTTGTTGACCACGGGTCATGAAATTCATCTAATCTACGAAATTCGGATTTTTTTTCCCCAGCGTATGATTAAAACCATTGTTGCTTTTTATAATTTCGTCTTGAAGACTATAACTACTTTTAACTTTGCAATTACAACTAACAATTTCATTGCTGCAATCATGTCCAAAGTATTTATTTTATTCTGCAATATATATATATATATATATATATGTCGTACCTAGTAGCCAGAACTCACTTCTGAGCCTACTATGCAAGGCCCGATTTGCCTAATAAGCCAAGTTTTCATGAATTAATTGCTTTTCGACTACCTAACCTACCTAACCTAACCTAACTTTTTCGGCTACCTAACCTAACCTATAGAGATAGGTTAGGTTAGGTTAGGTAGGGTTGGTTAGGTTCGGTCATATATCTACGTTAATTTTAACTCCAATAAAAAAAAATGACCTCTTACATAATGAAATGGGTTGCTTTATCATTTCATAAGAAAAAAATTAGAGAAAATATATTAATTCATGAAAACTTGGCTTATTAGGCAAATCGGGCCTTGCATTGTAGGCTGAAAAGTGAGTTCTGGCTACTAGGTACGACATATATATATATATATATATATATATATATATATATATATATATATATATATAATATGTCGTACCTAGTAGCCAGAACGCACTTCTATGCCTACTATTCAAGGCCCGATTTGCCTAATAAGCCAAGTTTTCATGAATTAATTGTTTTTCGACTACCTAACCTACCTAACCTAACCTAACCTAACGTTTTCGGCTAACTAACCTAACCTAACCGATAAAGATAGGTTAGGTTAGGTTAGGTAGGGTTGATTAGGTTCGGTCATATATCTACATTAATTTTAACTCCAATAAAATAAAATTGACGTCATACGTAATGAAATGGGTAGCTTTATAATTTCATAAGAAAAAAATTAGAGAAAATATACTAATTCATGAAAACTTGGCTTATTAGGCAAATCGGGCCTTGAATAGTAGGCATAGAAGTGCGTTCTGGCTATTAGGTACGACATATATATATATATATATATATATATATATATATATATATATATATATATATATATATATATATATATATATATATATTTTATGCTATGTAATAAAAAACAGGTTCGCTTCTGTATTCCTTTTAGTTATTTGAACCCATAAAACTGTCCTAATCCCGTACTGTCTCAAACTTACGATAATGAAACTAGTCTGATGATGAAACGCTAATTAAATTCCTTTTACTTTCCTTTTTAATTTTAAATTTAAATTTTTAAATTCGCTAGGATGTTACCTCGGTAAATGCTAATTATTTATTACTTCTAAGGTATCGCAAACAGCTTAAGTCCAGCCGGAAGCAGTCGCCAGTACCTCCGCCCCCGAAGGATGAAGAGGAGGAGGAAGAGGAAGAGATTGGAAACAGAGGAGAGAACGAGGAGAATCCTAATGGAGAACATGGTATGTCTTACACACACAGAATTCACAATAACGGGATACATCAAACGAACAAATCCACAAGGGCCTTGATAAGGGTTCGCACTTATGTGCTGGATTTGTTCGTGGTATGTCTTAGCTAAACCTGTGATTGCATTAAAGGAGTAATTTTATTTCAAAGATGCTTAATACAGTAATTAAATATATATGCCAGCACTAATTGATATACGATTATTATACGTATATATTATTTACTATTACTCGAGGAAATATATGTTTATAATTTCATCATGCAACATAAATCTAATTCTGTAACAGAGAGCTACAACTTGACTGTGGGATCTACGCAGTCTGCATTAACGATTGGCATAGGGAGTATTTCTGAGACGTCGGTGATCAGGATTCTGGTGGAGTGTGGCGCTGAAGTCAACGCTCGGGATGTGTATGACCAAACACCCTTACACTACGCTGCCATGAGAGGCAATGTTCCTGCTGCCAGGGATCTCCTCAAGTGTCCTCGAGTTTTGTGTGAGGTGAGATTTTAGAGAGAATTTGAAGTTAAGAGGCCTGGTCGAGGACCGGGCCGCGGGGACGTTAAGCCCCGAAATCATTGCAAGGTAATGGGTGAAGCACAGGGATATAATACGTACACTGGACTATGTCCAGGCCTAAAGTATTCTTGCTGGTTGGTCAGTAAGCATTTGTGGTGGCCTTGATAACCCTCCAGAGGTTGATAGGCTTATGCGCAACACCAAACTAGGTAGATGAAGGTGTAAGGAATTTTGTTTAAGGAGAAATACATATATTTATGTTCGTAGAAGGGTTTGGTCAAATTTTTTGTATGGTGCAAAAGGTAAACGTTTCCAGTTAGTAATTAAGCTAACATAAAACATGTTAAATTTAATCGTTTTAACCACATTTAGGATAATAATTCCCGTTGTCGGGGAAAAAGCCTGTAACTAGGCTTATCTAGGTTTTCCCAGCGCCTTAGGCCAACTACTTACTCTCTCATGGATACAATCCAAAATAGTTGCCTAACTCTAGGGCCCCTATTACGAGAGAGAGAACGAACGAACGAACGAACGCAAAGCTTAAATGGTCCCCAAGCACAGATATCACTAACTTTATGACCCCTTAGAGAATTCGAAGCCCTTCCTTTGAAAAGGGATTTATCGGTGTTTGTCCGTCTCTATACTGAATTTCTTTTCACCATGTAATATTACAAAACAATTACCAAAGCAAGCATTCAAGTAGGATTCTAATGAGATAGATCAAGTCAAGATCAACACATTAAATTGTTCGGTAGTAGATTTCGCTTTTAATATATATAATATATATATAATATATATATAATATATATATAACATATATAAAATGTTTTTCTTATATATGTGTGTGTGTTTGACGAGAGTGCAGGCGCGGGACAAGCAGAAAATGACACCGCTGTTCGTCGCCGCCACGTTTGGTTACGTGGACATCAGCCGTAGACTTATCCTAGCCGGGGCCAGCATATTTTCAAAGGATGAATCCGAACAAACACCTTTACACCGAGCCTCAATGGAAGGCCATCTGGTGAGTTAATAGCACAATACTAATAATTGATAACCTAACGATAGTATTTGGTACAAAGGAAATCATTATTCTTTTTATTATTATTGTTGGTGTTATTATTGGAAAAATCCGCGAACCATTTCACAGTGGATTTTCTCATTTATATGTATCACGTTAATGTAATTTCTGTGTTATTAGAATTATTGAGAAAATCCACTAAGGGCAATGAGGTGGGTCGCGATGCTACGACCTTGGCATTGCTAGCCGCATACTCTACCATTAGACCACCGGAACTTGTAAAAAAAAGTCGTACACCCGGATTTCTACTGAAATCACAGGAAGTCTGGAGGCCCCTCCTGAAGCCAGTCCAAGTGTTTACGTATGAGCCACAAGCACTAGGGTGGAAGGGCAGAGTGAACCAACACCTTAGGCCCAACTTCAGAAACACACCGAAATCACATTAACGTGATATATATATATATCAATGAGTAGATTGATATATATCACGTTTGTGTGATTATTATTATTATTATTACTATTGAGAAAATAACTACAATGTTTAATGCTTGAATGAAGGTGAAGGAAAGACCCAATTTATGTTAAAAACTAATTTTCGAATGTAACCTACATCCTTATTCAAGCCACTATTGTATATATGTTCTCATCCAATGTTCTGAGCATTGTATGCAGTACCCAGAGAAAGGATGTAGGTTACATCTGAAAATTGTTTTTTTAATACACTAACATAAATTAGGTCTTCACTTTCATTATTATTATTTTACTGTTTTCACCTTTAAAATGTTTGGTTAATAGGTTTAATCTTAAGAACATTAGAGCTTGAGCGTAATAAAAAGTGACGTAACATGCATAGTTAGGTTCAACATAAGTCTAGTTTGGTTAGGTCATTTAGACTAGGCGTCAAAAAATAAGTACATATGTTCGATATTCAACAGGAGGGCGGAAAGAATTTATTGTGCCTACGAAACATGGCCATTAAAATCAACCAATGTATTGCATATTTTTATTACAAAGATTAAATTGATTACTGTTACCAAGGAAATTGTTGAGCTGCTGCTGATGTCTGCTGTAGCGGCCGGAGGGAAGGCGACGTTGGAGAGGCTGGTTAGTGAGCGAGACAGTGAGGGACAGACGCCTCTACACCACGCTGTCAACAACAGTCACCTCCAGGTCCGTCAGTCACACACACCACTCACCTTACATGACAACAACAGTCACCTCAAGGCGCGTCAGTCACACACACCACTCACCTTACATGTCAACAAGTCACCTCTAGGCTCGTCAGTCACACACACCACTCACCTTACATGTCAACAACAGTCACCTCAAGGCTCGTCAGTCACACACCCCTCACCTTACATGACAACAACAGTCACCTCTAGGTTCGTCAGTCACACACCCACTCTCATCTAAAATTCATGAGCATATATAACAAATCTGAGGAAATTCTAAATTCCCCCATTTGAGCAGTGTGATATTTGGCTGCTCTCCAGCTGCGAGCCTCAGAGTGTTAGAGGTTTGGCAAGCAGCTTTATTGATGGTTTTTATTCTCAGGTTTTCTTATTATATAAAGTGTTGCATTGCTTCACAATGTTGTAAATGATGAATATTAACATAATAAAATAGGTTGCAAATGGAAATGGCTTAGGAAACTTGCAAAGGAAAATGAAATGATGAAGTAGCAAATTGGTACTTCAATTCCCTTTGCTATATTGATGAAGTAGCAAATTGCATAATCCATTGTGGTTATAAATATAAATAATTCAAATTATAATAATTCTTGCTTTATTCAATTATTTGATAAACTAATCCTGCAAGATGGGGATCTTAGAATCACACATCTTGCCATAAACTCTGTAACCCTTCGTAGAGTTTAGGATAGTCGCATAAATGCTGAAGTGTCTAAATACTGTAAACAAAAAAATCTTGGGCCATAGGTTGCGAGGCGTCTGCTTGACGCAGGCGCACACTTGGAAGCAGTGAGGGACACCTTGGCCACACCGCTTCACGCCGCTGCTGCAGTTGGTAATACTGACCTCGTTAAGCTGTTGCTTCAGGTACGGCAATGGTATGTTTGTTTAAACATAAACACCCGTTGAATAATTTTTCGATTCCAGCGGTTATAGTCACCCTGTGGACACAATATCCAAGAGCAACGCCATGTCAGCGTTATCAAAGCGCGAACCCAAGCCTAACCTAACCAACCGACAAATCGAAAACGTGAATGTTTTTAAGCTTTCCCAACCAATATAAAATAAGGGGCATTTTTCAAAGTACCTCTTCTTTTGTACGTTGGAGATCGTAGCGTACAAAATGCGGTGTATTGAGTGAACAGGTGGTAACAACACAGCATGCTTGATAGGCTTATCGAGTTTCCCTTCGGCCAGGGAGTGACATTTCCTCTTATAAAGTCCACAACAATTGTCTAAATCCCAGTCGCCATATCACTATTTGGTGGGCAGAGCCGAGCACCTCTAGATCTGTGCTATTCTCTTTATTAATCTTCTAATGTAAACTACTCTACTACAGGACCCATAATATTATATTCTTAATTTTTCTTTATTAAATAATATACAATATAAAAATCATTTTACATCAGTTTACAATGGAAAATACTACATTTATATATAATATTATATTCAGCCAAGGTAAGGTAACAGAATGCTGAGGAGGATTGCCTAATGTCAACATTCGTGTGCCCAAGTGTATGAGCAGTATATGAAAGGACACCGATTAAAAGTACATCATATAGCTGAGAAATTGGTCAATGTGGGTAAAATGAAACGGGGTGGGTTTCATTTTAGAAGTTGTTGTGTGGGTCAGATGTCTGAATTAAAACAGATGGAGGGACAGGCTACGGCCACAAGAAAAATTTACATTCTTGGCATAGTGGTAGCACCCTTCCTCGCCAGCGATTTTGTTGGGATAGAGTCCTGGCAAAGGAGGATTGACTGGGTGCCATGCCTTAACTGTACCATATCCTGTTCTCCCAGCAGTAATTTTTGGCCTGGTTTTTAACCGACTGATGGTTCGAATTCCATGGAAAATTCATTGAATAAGGCTTAACATGAACTATGGAAAGTAACCAATTAATTTTTTTTGAATTTGTTAAAGTTTGTATAACATTCCTATAACATTCTTATAGTTCGTAAATACACACGCATCTTGAGTGAGAAGTCAAGATACGAATATAAACACAACTGGGAAACATAATACTTAAACATTATAATCAACAACGTACCTGAATATATACATATAATATAACCGTATATTTACCTAAAGTAACTCAATACTAGAGTAATACTGTACTCGCAGAAAGGAGCTCGGCTGGAGAGTGCCGACTGCAACCAGCAGACGCCCCTACACCGCGCGGCCGCCTACAACCAGGCACCAGTCGTCACCTTACTCCTCAACGCCGGGGCCAGCGTGGAGAAGAGAGACACGTAAGTCTCTCTTTAAATAGAATAAAATATATGATTAATACTGTAATCAAGTAAATTTTACTTGTATCTTGTATTAAACATTGTCAAGAAAAAAAAGCCTAATGAGGCTAATGCTGAGAAGTAATAATTATAGAAATGTAAGTTCCTGGTTTACTGTTGATGGAAGGGGGGTTTCAGGCCTACCAACTGCGGGAGTGTTATTATAAGGCCGCCATAGTAGCAAACTCTATATTCATTATATTGCTTGAGTTTATTATACTCCCTGAGCTCATTATATTCATTGAAATTATTTACTCATTATACGCAGTATATTCTTTATTGAATATATTTTCAAGGTACTCCTTGAACTTATTATATTATATTCATTATAGACCTTGAACTCATTGTGTTCCTATTTTCATTATCTTCCCTGTAATCATTATGCTCTTCTCGTTATGCTCATTGAACTCATGATGCTAATATTGTCCCTGAGCTCGTTACACTCCCTGGATTCATTATACTCCCTAAACTCATATACTGTACCATTTTTCTAGTTATTCTCCAAGAACTAATTACACTTCTTGAAACTCAATAGACTCTGCAGTCATTATACTTAAATTATAACTCTTGAACTAATTTGTACTCCCAAGTCACTAGTAATCCATTCTTCTTCGGGTGACTAATTTGTAATCCATCTGAGCCGTTGTGTGTCAAGCCATTGCTATTTTTAACTCTGGCGTTACCTATCATTGCTGTTTTTTAACGCTGGCGTTACCTATCATTGCTGTTTTTAACGCTGGCGTTACCTATCATTGCTGTTTTTAACGCTGGCGTTACCTATCATTGCTGTTTTTAACGCTGGCGTTACCTATCATTGCTGTTTTTAACGCTGGCGTTACCTATCATTGCTGTTTTTAACGCTGGCGTTACCTATCATTGCTGTTTTAAACGCTGGCGTTACCTATCATTGCTGTTTTTAACGCTGGCGTTACCTATCATTGCTGTTTTTAACGCTGGCGTTACCTATCATTGCTGTTTTTAACGCTGGCGTTACCTATCATTGCTGTTTTTAACGCTGGCGTTACCTATCATTGCTGTTTTTAACGCTGGCGTTACCTATCATTGCTGTTTTTAACGCTGGCGTTACCTATCATTGCTGTTTTTAACGCTGGCGTTACCTATCATTGCTGTTTTTAACGCTGGCGTTACCTATCATTGCTGTTTTTAACGCTGGCGTTACCTATCATTGCTGTTTTTAACGCTGGCGTTACTTATCAGTGCTGTTTTTAACGCTGGCGTTACTTATCAGTGCTGTTTTTAACGCTGGCGTTACCTATCGGTGCTGTTTTTAACGCTGGCGTTACCTATCGGTGCTGTTTTTAACGCTGGCGTTACCTATCGGTGCTGTTTTTAACGCTGGCGTTACCTATCGGTGCTGTTTTTAACGCTGGCGTTACCTATCGGTGCTGTTTTTAACGCTGGCGTTACCTATCGGTGCTGTTTTTAACGCTGGCGTTACCTATCGGTGCTGTTTTTAAAGCTGGCGTTACCTATCAGTGCTGTTTCTAACGCTGGCGTTACCTATCAGTGCTGTTTTTAACGCTGGCGTTACCTATCAGTGCTGTTTCTAACGCTGGCGTTACCTATCAGTGCTGTTTTTAACGCTGGCGTTACCTATCAGTGCTGTTTTTAACGCTGGCGTTACCTATCATTGCTGTTTCTAACGCTGACGTTACCTATCATTGCTGTTTCTAACGCTGACGTTACCTACCTCTAGGGACTCGTTTACGCCGCTGTTAGTGGCAGCCAGCGGTGGCCACGCGGCAGCAGTGCAGATATTGTTAAGCCACGGGGCTGATGTGGAGGCTGTGGATAAGGACGATAAGTCAGCGGTGTATTGGTGCGCTAGCCAGGGCAACGAGGAAGCTCTTGAGGTACGCTGGTTGGTGATACTGCTGTTATTGGTATTTTCAAATGTCTTGGAAACGTGTCATTTTGCTGCTCTGATGAAGGAATAAGTATTTAATCATCCAATACTTTCATCATCTATCATATCCATCATGCACCACATACCATATCTACATCATCCACTACCTGACATAAGGACCAGGGGCCAGATTCACGAAAGCACTTACGCAAGTACTGACGAACGTGTACATCTTTCCTCAATCTTTGACGACTTTGGTTACATTTATTAAACCGTTTTCAAGCATGAAAACTTGCCAATCAACTGTTGTTATTGTTATAAACAGCCTCCTGGTGCTTCGGAGCTCATTAACTGTTTAATAATTGGAAACAAAGCCGCCAAAGATTGAGAAAAGATGTACAGGTTCGTAAGTGTTTGCGTAAGTGCTTTCGTGAATCTGGCGCCAGATACACCTGTGCCCTCCCTTGATCAGTTAGGATCAAAACCTGTCTTAGGATACAATAATCATAGCGACGTATACAGGTGCTCTTGAGCGACGACCACTGTCGGGAGCTAGTGGACGTGAGCGACCGGTACGACAACTCCCCGCTGCACGCGGCCGCCAAACACGGCTACATGGCCATCGTCAACAAGCTGCTGGAGGCGGGCTCTAAGGTGGACAACAAGAACGAGGACGAGGAGACGGCGTTCCATGTCGCGGCAGAGGCTGGACAAGTCAGGTGTGTGTGTGTTAGCCGACAGTAAAACTTTCGCCTGTGGTTAGAACCATGAGGTTTGGACGTAAGACTTTATTGTTCTTTTATAACTAGTAGAGGTGGACTATATTATCTATACAAGAAAAGAGCGAGTCATTGCACATCTTTCACGTTAAAAATAGTGTTTGGTACAGTCATATAATTTGTTTCTGAATATCGGATTCAACTTCTAAAATAATTTTTCGTGTTTTCAGAAATTCAATATTTTAATTAAGATATGTTCGTTAGGGGAAAGATATTCTCGCGCACGCACTCACGCACGCACACATGGCTGGTCAGTTTCAAATGTAGGTATGACAGAGCCCAGTAGGCTCAGGAATCTGTACATCAGTTGATTGACGGTTGAGAGGCGGGACCAAAGAGCCAAAGCTCAACCCCTGCAAGCACAAATAGGTGCCTGAGAGGCAGCTGTTGCGGGCATTGCATCCTGGGGAAAGGTCAGTAGTTCAACCTTCAAAATGACATGTAACCAGAGTACTTCAATATGAAAGTAACTCACTGCTCTTTAATTGATGTTGACCCCCAGGGTTGTACGCGAACTGGTAAATCGGTACAAATTTCTTCTCTCTGATGAGAACGAGTACTCGAACACCCCGCTGCACCTGGCGTGTCTACAAGGTCACACTGACGTAGCCAGGACGCTGCTGGAGGCTGGGGCGGCCGTCGATGCCAGGAACTCCTCCCTCTGGACGCCACTAGACTGTGCCTCTGCCAAAGGCCATGTTCTGTGTGTTCATCTCCTGCTGGACTATGACTCTCCTCTCGATCCTCTTGATAAGGTATATGCCAAGAACATTTATTTAGAATTGATGCATTGAAAACAGATATACGTTCTGTAGTCCCAACAGTTTTCAGTTTATTATTATTAAACACACATAATCTCATTAACTCCATATGTTTTCAAGGGCTGTTTTTCTACTGGTCAGACAAGAACCACGCCCCTGCAACTGGCAGCGAAGGAGGGTCATGTGGCTGTCACCCGCCTGCTGCTGGAGCGCGGAGCCTCGCTCTCTGCCTGCGACACTTCAGGAAGGAATGCTTTGGAACTTGCTATTTCTGCTGGCAAAAGGTGAAATATATATTATCTTATGAAGACTAAACCACACACTAGAAAATGAGGGGACGACGACGTTTCGGCCCGTCCTGGACCATTGTCAATTCGGTTGTGATGAGACGAGGGAGGCACACGCAGGAAACGTCGTCGTCGTCTCATTTTCACATGGCCCCAAAAAGTGAGGCGATTCGATGAAATATCAGTGCCCAAGTTGACCACCGAGTGCTGTCGGGGTGTTGGGCAAGAGTCTCACGCCTTCCAACATTGTACAATCAGTTGTGGTCTAGCGGTTAAAGTACCAGATACGCTAAGGTGCATGGTACTCCTGGCTGTTTGGGTTCGAATCCTTCATGAAGGTGAGGATATTTATATATATGTATATATATGTCGTACCTAGTAGCCAGAACGCACTTCTCAGCCTACTATGCAAGGCCCGATTTGCCTAATAAGCCAAGTTTTCCAGAATTTCAGTATTTTTCTCATTTTTTCTAATGAAATGATAAAGCTATTCATTTCATTATGTATGAGCGAATTTTTTGTTAATTTGGGTTAAAACTAAGGTAAATATATGATCAAACCTAACTAACCCTAAAAATGGGGTGTGTGTGTATATATATTATATATATATATATACCCCATTTCTCAGTGTATATTCACTGCGAGTTTCCTATATTCCTGGTCCATGTTTAGAACTATAAGTGTACCTGCTATATGGTCAATATGGCCTCAATGAACTTTCTGAGGCTGATCGACCTTAAATCCAGCACAACATTATTGTAGTTCAGGTAAAAAGATAAGTCACTATCTAGGTATGTACAACATTTGTCACTTGTACTTGCTAAATGCAATAACTTGTAATAGTTTGACCTGTTGCCCTGTTCGTAGGGATGTCTGCATGGCCATTGTGAAGTCCAGTGAATGGGAGGCAGGTCTGAGGATTGTGAGGACAGATGACAATGGCCGGCGCGTCACCCCCTTCAGGATGCTCGTCAAGAAGTTCCCAGATGTGGCAGAGGTGGTACTTGACAGGTATACATGAACCGTACCTGTGTTGTGTAATGATAACCACAGTTTACATGCTGTATCAACACCTACTGACCCTCAGGTTATTTTGACCAAGTCTAGATAACTAATTCATAATATACCAGTGGAATAAATTTAATTAAATACAATAAATCACAACCTCATGGTACCATAAACTACTGAAATTCGATTCTTTTCATACAGTTCTTATTACTTGGATTGTATAAATAAATAGCTGGAGCTCAGTGGTTAGTGCAGTCGGCTCACAACATACCGATCCCGGGTTCGATTCCCGGGCAGTGTGATACGTTTGGGCACCTTTCCTTACACCTGATGTGTGTGTTCACCTAGCAGTAGCCTGCAAGCTAGGTAACTGTTGTAGGTTGCATCCTGGAGAAGGTGAGTCGTTGGCTTAGGGGGAAAAGTCCTAGATAAGCCTACCAGGCCTATGCTGGTTCCCTACAATGGGAAACTGTTTCCCATTGTTGAACAACGTTGTTGCGTCTAGGCTGAACCCCTGTCATGTGACTGGGACTGTGGGTCACGTGACTGGGAGACTTGCCGTGCCTATTTTTAAACCATAAATTTAAATTTGACTTAATTGCAGAAACCCGGTTGTGAATTTTCATTCCTGGTTGATATTTCTGACAAATTAATGTCAGAAATGACGTTAATGACACGTTATTAACGTCATTTATTAACGTCTGGCGCGTTAATGACCTTGTTAGACTGTACCATTTGGTCACCAACAATATGCACCTTCACAAAACCATTGTACCTTCATATATATATGCAGATGAAATAAATAAAAACAATATTATTGAACAATTGTCATACGGTGTAATTGTGATACAATTCGATTCACAATTGTGATACGGTGTTCGATCAAATAGACAAGATTTACACATAGGTCTCCTTGTCGATAAATAGTAATATAAGAGGTGCCCTGTCAGTTGGCAAATGTTCAGAAAACAGTTGTCCCTATCCTGCCCTAATGCCCTTCCCTCAGGTGCACTTCAACTGCTCCCCTTCCCTCAGGTGCACTTCAACTGCTCCCCTTCCCTCAGGTGCACTTCAACTGCTCCCCTTCCCTCAGGTGCACTTCAACTGCTCCCCTTCCCTCAGGTGCACATCAACCAATGGCATGGATTCAGATGACAGAAAATTTGACATATCATTCAACTTTGAGTTTGTGGAAGACACCTATACCTGTCACAATGGAAGTGACACTGACTCCATCAATTCAATCTCAACATTTGAGCCGCCATTTGACGAAGAAGGACAGCTCGCGGAAGACGCAGAACCCTACTCGCAAGACACGAGAGAACTGAAGAACAACCACCCTCTGATGCTCATGGTGAAGTATAAGAGGCTAAATCTTCTGGCCCATCCAGTCTCCATCTCCCTCGTCAAGCACAAGTGGATGAGCTATGGAAGGTTAGTTTCTCTTTGATGGTTGGGGAAGGAGGCGGTGCCTAAAGAATTCACACTAACGTGATTATATAAAAGAAACTCAATTGGAGTACTTAGATGGCTGGAACCAGGGATTAGGCGCTTCCGGCCGCGTCCCATACCCCTGTACCACAGTATGGTATGAGTTATACAAGCTGGGATTCCACTGACTCCCAGCTTGTAATCGCGTTACTGTGATTTCTTTGTGTATCTGATGCTGGAGCGTTATGTTGATGAAGTACTTTACCTACACCAGAGTGCATGGAGGGTTATATGTAAGACATGGATTGGCTTCAGTCGAAGCCTCCAGGCATACAGTGGGAATCCCAGGTTGTGTAACTTATACCATGATGTCATGGTACAGGGGTAAGGTGCGTGGCTGGGAGTACCCTGATTGCTGGTTCGAGCCACCTCAGTGCACAAATTGATTACGAGGTAGGTGCCCAATCAAGGCTAGGTGCTCCCCTACGGTAGTCCTTCAATGGGGAATTAAGACCAACTCGCAACCAGGTACCAGGTATCAACCAGGACACGCCTCAGTTATAATTGTTTATTACTAAGACCATGCAACTAACTTGTTTCTTGGACTGTGTATATTAGATTAGTATTTACGAACATTTAGATCATTTGATAGAATTTTTGTTCAAAGCAATATTCTAAGATTGTCGCTGATTATCGACATTTAATTGCTGGTTTTGACAATATTTCTTGTTCAGGTTCGTGTACTATTTAACGCTGGGATTCTACATGATCTTCCTCATCTTCCTCACTGGTTACATCCTCACAGCAAGGTGAGTTCACGTCACGGAATCCCAAGTGGTAATGTCAATAAAATGAAGATTAATATTTAAGTGTGGGTAATGGAGCTCGCCATAAAACACCATAAAAATAAATGTTCCTTCGGAACACAAAGAAATCATAATGGCGGGATATAGATCCCCTTTTTCGTAGCCTGGAGCCAGATTCACGAAGCAGTTACGCAAGCACTTACGAACCTGTATATCTTTTATCAATCTTTGGCGGCTTTGTTTACAATTATTAAACAGTTAATGAGCTCCGAAGCACCAAGAGGCTGTTTATAACAATAACAGTTGATTTGCAAATTTTTCATGTTTGTAAACTGTTTAATAAATGTAACCAAAGCCGTCAAAGATTGAGGAAAGATGTACACGTTCGTAAGTGCTTGCGTAACTGCTTCGTGAATCTGGCCCCTAGTCACTTGGTCGTTCAGTCACTTTCCTACCTATATAACTATGTAGGAGTTTGGTTTGTTTCTTTGCTTTAGAAACTATTATTTTAGAGTGTTTACCTATCAGTGTACACAAGGTGAAATCTGGCTTCCCCCTTCTAGCAATTTGTAATGTTATCTTTCATCTCTATTAACTTTAAGAGTTCAGTTTCTTGATTGTGGCTTTCACATTTTCTTGTCTTACATGCACAAGGGACTGGACATCGGTCGCTGATGAAATGAACGGCACGGCAGTCAACACAACAGTACTGATCCAGGCAGCCAAGCAGCAACAATCTTGTGAGGTCAAGTTTTCCCATATATTGGTTTGGTCAATGTTCACGGATGCAGCTTTATTAGTGAAATACCTACTGCATTTCCATTTCAAGAACAAAAAATTGTGTTGATTGATATCTTGGATATATATTGGGAGCCGGTCGGCCGAGCAGACAGCACGCTGGACTTGTGATCCTGTGGTCCTGGGTTCGATCCCAGGCGCCGGCGAGAAACAATGGGCAAAGTTTCTTTCACCCTATGCCCCTGTTACCTAGCAGTAAAATAGGTACCTGGGTGTTAGTCAGCTGTCACGGGCTGCTTCCTGGGGGTGGAGGCCTGGTCGAGGACCGGGCCGCGGGGACACTAAAAGCCCCGAAATCATCTCAAGATAACCTCAAGATAACGAATGCACAAAGTGGGTTTCAAAGGGCATCAGTCACAAAGTTTAGCATAAAACTGTTGTTAATTTTTATGATAACCCACGAATCAGAAAATAAAGGATGTAACGTCAACGTTTCGGTCCGTCCTGGACCATCATCGTTGCACGATAAGATACACTTTATGATGGTCCTGTACGTGGACAGAACCGTCGTCAATATCTCTATTTTCCAATTTGTGGGTTGGGTGTTTCCCTTCCAGCATCTGATATACTAACCACCTCTGCTGTTTTTAAGACTGGTCCTTCACCGCCATGCTGATTTTCTCAATTTTCTTCACAGGATATACGAAAGGAGGTGAACTTGACAGACGGCGTATTCGTTATAGCAGGGAAGTGGGTGATTATTGTACTGGCAGCGCTTAACATAATGCGGGAGATGTTCCAGTTTTACCGGGTATGACAGTGAATTCTACCCATATATATATATATATATATATATATATATATATATATATATATATATATATATATATATATATATATATATATATATATATAATATACACCTTAAAATGATTGAATATTTCATTGTAAATCAATATTTTAAGTTATAGTAATAAACATAAAATATATATTACAGGTGAAAGTAGTAGACTTAAACTTCATTTTATCAATAAATGGAGGATAAATAGTAAATGTACAAGTATTCTGTGAATTAGACATTTTAGGTTCTTCTGTAGGACATTGCTGGGATTTGGTTACAATGAGAGAACAATCACTGGTGGCGTAATGGTAGCACACTCGCCCCCACGCCTCGCCAGCGACTTGGTCTGGGGTCGAGCCCTGGCCATAGAGGATTTATTAGGCGCCAATCCCTGGCTGTTCATCCAACAGTAATTAGGTATCTGGCTGCTAACAAATTGGCTGGTTGTGATCCAGGGAGCGCTGGCAAGACTTAGAAAGTTCTAAGCCTACTAACAGGAATCAGAAGCCGCCTGCTCTTGTACCCACCTAAGTTACAAAATATATTAAATGGAGTTGGTTACTGCATTATGAAGAGATCTCAAGAAATGTGTTTGCTAAGAAACCTTGACAGTAAAAGTAACACTATATTTGTAGTCTGTTGAACATTAACCTGAACACGTTATACATATGTATTCATTATAGAATGTGCTTAGTATAAGATAACTAAAACTTAGATATTTAAGAGTATATGTAATATAGTATTTACTATCTTAAGCGTCAACTGTTTTTAATTAAAAATGATTATTGATATGCGAATCATACAGTAACCTACCAATGATTGTTTACAATATACAGTACTTATATTTGAAAAAGAATACTACAATATGCATAAAGACATTTGAATTATACACATAAATTATCATTATTTGTGTACTTCAAATACATAATTCTTATCCATTATGATCACCTGTAGAAGGCTAATACAAAAGTGAGAGTTGAAACTTTTATAACCTCTGTAATTATATTTGCCATTTCAGGGCTGTTGTAATTCTCTGCTGGTAAAGTACTTAACTTTTTACGTCTAAGCACCTTTTCACCTTAACTGACTGTATTAAGATATTTCACCTCTGGAACCGATTCATGATTTGCAGTTATGCCGGATAGGATAATTTGAACTGGGTTATCAAAAAGGTTATCCTTTTTTTATCAGGGATATTCGTGCGTGAGCCATGAGCCTTTGGTTGGCCCACTAAACTGGAGTTCTTAACGATAGTTTAGAAGTGTTGAATATTCTGTAATATAGACAGTGATATCTTGTGAAGCCACGATGACCATCTTGGCTTAGCTTTTTCTTTTGATACTAACGTGTTCAGACGATGGGACGACACACACACACACACACACACACACACACACACACACACACACACACACACACACACACACACTCACACTCACACTCACACTCACACTCACACACACACACTATATATATATATATATATATATATATATATATATATATATATATATAATATACACACATACACTACTTTCGGTGTAGAGTATCCCTTTTCTTTGTATGCCCACTTGAGAGTATTCTTTAGTCTTGAATTATGTTCAGGGCTAAGGTATACTTACTGGTTGGTCAGTATACCTTGTGCCTCGACATTAATAACCCTCCAGCGGTTGATAAGCCTAAATTCCCCTCCTACTATTGAAAGGCCTTAATAATCCTCGCATGGTTGGTGAGCCGTAATTACCCTCCAGCGGTTGATAGGCATTAAGCCGAACATCAAATCAATAAGAGGGTTTTGAGTAAACTAGTGTAAATATAATAGGGTTTACATTGTAACAAGTGTAAACCAAAATCACAGATAACACCAAATCAGTAAGAGGGTTTTGGGTAAACTAGTGTAAATATAATAGAGGTTTACGTTGTAGCAGATGATATAGCTCACAAGGAAAAAATAGATACAGTATATTAATACTGTACATTCGTTTTCTGACGCGATGCATTAAATTGAGTTGAGATGATCTTGAATACATTTGCATTTGGCAGTTTGCTCGAAGGCCATCACCGAATTGTAAATATAATGCACATATATTTGTAGTGCATGTTGACACACCTGTGTATGATATTTAGTTATTGACACCTGTGTATGATATTTAGTTATTAACACCTGTGTATGATATTTAGTTATTGACACCTGTGTATGATGTTTAGTTATTGACACCTGTGTATGATGTTTAGAGCTTGGCGCTAGAGTACGATAAGTTAACACCAATGTATGATGTAGAGCTTGACGCTAGTGTACGATATCCTGTTTACGTATCAGCACCAGTGTACAATAAATTATTTATGTATTGACTCCAGTGAAAGATAAATTATTGTTAACATTTTGACACCAGTGTATTAAATATTGTGGAGATGTTGCCAGCAGTTCACATAGACGCTAATTAATAACACCTATGCCTTAAACTATTCCCACACATATATTTCCTTATACTCTCATATGTTTCCTTATCAGTTCCAGTAATGCGTCCCTCGTACGATACTAATGTGTTACCAAATTTCCAAAAGAGATGGTGTTGATAATTGTCCCAGCTGCCTAAAATGTTATATACATTATTTACTTATATTATTATTAACATCTTTATTGACAAAATTAAGTACAATTTTGCCTAATCTGAGGATTTCAATTAAGTCTTATTAAAGTGAGGATAATGCTGGTATTCACTGTCACACAGGACAATAGGTCTAAACTGTAGGCTGAAGCACATATATATAATAGTTACAATCAATGTTTTAACGTATGAATATGTGAAAACAATTTTCTATTGTGCACTGCCACACAAGGGCAGGGATGGGTTCATAAGTGATGCAGCTTAGAAGTAATATACATAAAAATTGTTCTTCATTCTTTAAAATGGACAAGCAAATTTTGGATAAATTGTTAGGATGTCGTCCAGAACACCTGAGTCAATAAAATAGTTACACAGTTGGTGGTACAAGAGGCCAGGAGGTCTAAAGTACTTTACGGTTTCACATTCAACATTATAGCGTTCTAGTGAATGCATTAAAGGTTTATCACAGTTTACAATCTGAGAATTCTGGTAGTGGCTCAGCCTCACTAACTTGCCAGATGTGCCTATAGCCAAGGCGAATTCGTGCAATGACTACATCACATTGTCTGGTCCGGTTACTGTGCTGACCATACAAATACCTATTATTACAAAAGTTGTCATAACTTTTAATACTGCAGGTTTCAGGTCTCTGGACATTTCTTAGTTCTTCTAACTTTGAATTAATTTCTTTAATTTGTATGTTTTTAATAATTGCATTAGATAGTCCAAAGTCATAATCAATGTTTTCTTTCCTGCAAGCCTCATTGGCCAACTATCTACAAAGTCATGGTTTCCAACTCCAACATGGGATGGGATCCACACAAATTTTATACAATAGTTATTATCATTGGCAAAAATTCCATTCCATTTAATATTGCAAGCTACTTCAGTCATACATTGTGATGGGTTATTTAAGGACTGCAGAGCACTTTTAGAGTCACAGAAAATAACTCTACAACCATTGAGCTTAAGGTACTCAGTGGCTAGATAAATACCCAATAGCTCAGTCTGTGTCGTGCTTGCCCTCAATCTCTGTTCAATCTCTGTGTACTAGACATGATCATTTCATTCCCTTTATATTACTTGCATAATTTTCGTTCTAGGCTCGCCTCAATTACATTGGGTTGGAGAACTTGATAGAATGGTGCTGTTACATCACCGCTGTTCTGCTTGTGTGGGACTTCACGGACTGTCCAGTCAGGCAGGTGAGCTCATCTGCAACTCCTGGAGACTCGAGTCTAATCTAGATACGATCAGCAGACCGATGACAGTTAATGTAGAAATGAAAGTAGCTGACATACAGGTAGAGAAACTCGACAGTTCACTACAAAGCAAAGTAGTGTTACAGAGTTAAATTTAAAAACATTTAATTAAAATGCATTGTCAAAGGGTAAATGAAAATGTAATGTTTTAAAAGTATGTATTCTTTATTTTCCTAAATACCGTGAGAAACAAGAACTTGCTTGTCCCTGTTTTGATTTAATTGTATAACAACAAATTTATCGAATTTTGCAATACTTGTTTTGATACGTCATGTATATTATATATGTATTGGAATAGTTGAATAATTTATGGGATGCTGTGCAAGAATGCACTGGCCTCAATCATGTTAAATTTCCATAAACAATTTTAAACTATTAGAGGCTGTTTGAGATAGGCATTACAGCATATAATCTAACATTCGAGTAAGTGTAAAGAACCTATAATGCTTTTCTGTCTTTTTGCAACAGGATTGGCAATGGCAAGTTGGAGCAGCTTCAATATTTCTAGCATGGATGAATCTGTTGCTCTTCATCCGCAAGTTTCCCTTCCTAGGCATCTATGTTGTCATGTTCACGGATATCTTTGCCACGTTTCTCAAGTTCTTCACCGTCTTTCTACTCTTCATTGTTGCTTTTGCCCTCGGCTTTTACACGGTGAGAATAATCGTAGTACAACTCCACAGGAGCCTTGATGAGGGTTCGAACCTATGTGCTGACATTTGAAACCCAGACACGCTCTAACCAATTGTACCACGACATGGTCAAAAGAATTGCAACCTGGAGTGTTACCATAGTGTCGTGGTATTGACTATGTCGTGGTGTAGTGGACTAGAGCGCGTCTGGGAACACTCAGCGCATAGGTTCGAACCCCTCATCAAGGCTGCTGTGGATTTGTTCTTTGATATATCACGTTAATAATGTGATTTCTGTTTCTTTAAACATACTTTCCCCCCCCCCCCCACTTGATCTGTAGAGGTTAGGAGGCTTATGAAGCATCATTACCCACTGAAGATAAATGTATAAACTAATAATTTAAATTTAATTTAATAATAAACATCTTTACCCATGATTAATATTGAATCAGGTCTGTAATGACCAAATGGAGTGATATACTGGTAATAAATAATATTAAAAATAAATCCCCAAGGCCCTTGACGAGAGGTTCGAATCTATCCGCTGGATCTTCCCAGACGCGCACTTAATTAAAAATAATCTCTCTCTCTCTCTCTCTCTCTCTCTCTCTCTCTCTCTCTCTCTCTCTCTCTCTCTCTCTCTCTCTCTCTCTCTCTCTCTCTCTGACACCCAGGTGCTGAGGGACCAGGATCCCTTCAGGACTCCCGCCACCTCGCTCCTCAAGACCACCGTCATGATGATCGGAGAGATGGAGTTTGACGCCATTTTCAACGATGAAAATGGACAGACACTGAAAGTAAGTCAGCCAATTGCTCCGTTTAACACAGAAAAGCTGAAGGTTTTGGATGCTCAGTTTATCAGTAATACTGATAACAAGGTTGGGTATAATGAAGGGTAAACTAAGGCAGTATATAATAATAATGATTAATTATTCAATTACTATATACTGCCTTAGTTTATCCTTCATTATATACTTATTTTATCCATCATATACCCTTCCTCGGGTAATGAAAGTTAAACTAAGGCAGTGTATAATGAAGGGGTAAGCTAAAACAGAATATAATGAAGGGTAAACTAAGTGTATAATGGAGAATAAACGACCATTTAGTAATTACATGAGGACGGCATCTCGTCCTCATAAACACTTCTTGTTAATCCAGTCGCTAAGCCACCCACCCAGAAGTCCACTACGGGCTCACCATAGCCTGTGCTTCTTGGAACGTTTTGTTCCAGGTAGCGAATCTTAAACAACAATAATATAATTACACACAGAAATCACACTAACGTGATGCATCAAATGAACAAATTAACAAGGGCCGTGACGAGGATTCGAACCTGCGTCCGTTCGATTACGTTCGAACTTTTTGCCCTATCTCTCTCTCTCTCTTTTTTGCGAATTGCACCTCTAAATGTTTCACCCACTCGATACACACACACACACACACACACACACACACACACACACACACACACACACACACACACACACACACACACACACACACACTTGCCAGCAGAGCCAAACCCCACCAAACCTAACCTATGTCTTAACTACTGCTGAGAATTGGCTGAAATTGAGAATTTACCTACTTAAAATTATCTGTTAGATTAAGGACCTGCCCGAAACGCTGCGCGTACTAGTGGCTTTACAAGAGTGTAATTACTGTACTATGCTATGCTATGTATTCTCACAAACCCAATGTATCTTCTTGTATATAAATAAATAAATGGCTGTGTTTAAGAGCTGCTGCATTTGAAGCTTTGCCTCGTCTTCCATGCTATAATCATCTTCTGTTTTCATAACAAACTCGATTTCAAAGACAACGGGCTTTAGAGAAACAGCTAAGGCTGTAGTAGTCAAGAGATTACAATAATATTGTGTGTAGTTAAAGTGTGACGCGTGTTCTTCTCTCGGGTAATGTCGGGTACCTTAGCTAGTATCCGTGCTACCTTGTAATGCTTAGAATTGTATTTAATACATCTGTTCTTTTGCAGTATCCAGAAATCACGTATATACTGTTCGTTGCCTTCCTCGTCTTGATGTCCATTCTAATCATGAACCTGTTGGTCGGCTTGGCTGTAGACGATATCAAGGCAGTGCAGGATCAGGCTATACTCAAGAGGCTTGCAATGCAGACCCAGGTAAGGCAAAATAAAAATATATTATTATTATTTATTATTATTATTATTATTATTATTATTATTATTATTATTGACATATAAACAACATAATGTGACAGTGTTTACATGCATATTACAAACTTTAGATTCAGATGGGTCATTGAAACGTTAGAAAGTTACTTTTAGCGTAAAAGTACAATAGTGGGAAGATGGAGTGAACTGATAGAGCGGGCTTAAGAAGTGCTTTCATAATTGTAATAGTAGATATGATAGGGACATAAGACAGGAGTCATTGTTTTAAAGTTTAAACAACCGACGGCTAGAAAGGTGGGATCCAAGATCTAATGCTCGATCCTGCAGGCACAAATTGGCGAGTTCTCTCACACACACACACACACACACACACACACACACACACACACACGCACGCACACGCGAGGTCCCCTATCTGGGCCCCTCACTATTCGGACTGGGTCGTAGTCCGAATAGCCCGGATTCGATTCCCGGCCGAGGCGGAAACAAATGGGCAGAGTTCCTTTCACCCTAATGTACCTGTTCACCTAGCTAATAGGTACCTTGGAGTTAGACAGTTGATACGGGCTCCTTCCTGAGGATGTGTGTGTGTGTTAGAATGAAATATATGTAGTAGATATAATAGAGGTAGATATAATTCCCACAGTCATATAGACTGGAATATATAGGCCTTCTGTATGCATGAGAATTTCGAAAATAATGGTAATTGACCACATTTGTTCATTGTCCGAAAACAATTTGTGTGGTTAAAAATATTACCACACTGAAAAACAGGTTTTCAATCAAATTTCACAATTCTTCAAGTTTAATTATCCAGCTCGATTAAACGATAACCAGCTTATTCACTTTTGTTTTACAAAGTACAAGTTTTTTTGTATTAATAATTTTTTTAGTCAAATTTTTGTCAAGTACCCCTATCATGATAAAAATGCTCAACCTGTCCTCTTAAAAAGAACGTCGCTTTTGGCCGTTTGCCCGTATGGCCGAATTTGGACGTAATTTGAAAATTAAAAAAAATTAAAATAAATTTGGGATTTTTTTTTCAACAACAGTAAGTTAAGGGTCCTCTGATAGGTTAGGTGGGCAGGAAATTCTCATAAAGTTTTAAAACGTTATGAAAAACGTTAATTTAAAGTGTCCTCTTATAACCTCTGCGCGTACGCCGGACGACTCAAAATAGAAAACGGAACAGAACGTCACTTTTGTGAGTCGATTTCATTTCAAATTACGTCCAAATTTAGCAATATCGTGCATACGAGCCAAAAGTGGCGTTCTTTTTAAGAGGACGGGTCGAAATGCTATTAAATTTTACAATTCACATTTCCAGATGGTGTTAGATGTAGAAGCTCTGATTCCAGAAACTCTGAAGAGGGTATGCATTGTCTGCAAGAAAAAGGTGTATCCTAATACACATTATGGGTCATTCTCCAAGCTCTTCGGAGATTTCAAGTTCATGAACACATTCGAGTTTTTTGCAGACGAGGAACAGGTAAGTTTCTGCACAAAATATATTTTCCATTTTCTTTATATATTGGAAATATTCAGAATCATATCTTCAATTTATTTGTATGAATACATAAAACAAATAATTTTCGTTTACAGGTAAGATAATTATCATATAGATTTTGTAATTGTGTTTTGGTAATTGTGCATAATAGGATAAAAACCCACACTTGTGTATTTGTGAAATTTATGTAAAGAATTTACAACGTCTTTCGATCTCTCCTGAGTGCTTTGTCGAGGTCTGAGTGTGTGATTAGGACGAGACTTACATCTCAACGTCTAATGAGATTGATCACACACTCAGACTTTGACAAAGCATTCAGGAGAGTGCGAAAGACTTAGTGTAAATTCAATGTATAACTTTCACAAATACGAAAGTGTGGGTTTTTATCCTATGTTATTATGTTTGTCAGAAGACATTACCATTACTTATTATGGATAGTAATACATATTGCTTTACAGTTTATCTACTCTTCCTCAACCTGTCATCCAAAAATTTATAATACAGTACTTATACCAACTATTGGCCCAACGTTAAAAAATCGACTGTCTAGAAAAATAACATTTTGTCTTGTTAATTTTGTCGAGGGCCTTGTATAGCATTCCTAGGATTAGAATAGCACATAAATTAGGCATAAGATGGTGTTTATTAGTCCTAGGATTGTTTATTTAGGCCTAGGACATGTTAGGTTAGGCTGTATAGATACTGTTCCACATTTTGGCATGCCATATAGAAGAGTGTATTCCAATAGTGCAAAATGCTAACTGTTTTCGGGTTACACACAGTCCATTTTTGTACGTTTGACCAATAGTTGGCATGAGTACTATCGTTTTTTGATAGACTGGGTCTGGAACATATGTTAAAAACAATTATTTTTATTACTCTGTAGGTCTACAGACATTATTAGTATTAGCCTAGCTGTCTATATGAACTTTGAATTCTAGTTTTTCCTAGATATCAGATACAAGCAACTTTGATAATATTATTGATTAAAATGAGAGGGTAAGACTGACTGTTAAAAGTGGCAAGTCTTAAAGTGCCTTTACTTAAAATGAAAGAGTGAATAATGATTTAGAGTCTTGATGAAAACCTGCAGGTTGCCATTAAGAAACGCTTGAAGAATCGTTCGGTGAGCTGCTTGATGTTTTGCATTTGGCTGGTTTGTGATTGTGCATGGCAGGTTGACGTGAATTTGTTAAAACTTAAGATTATTTTTTAAAACAAATAACGTATGTGTTATTGGAAATCATCTCCAGTGTGTGTGCGTACATTTTGTTGTGTGATTAACTACTTACCATTCTCTCTCTCTCTCTAAGCCACCAAATATCTTTAAACAATACTTTTATGTAAAAATATACTGTCGTTCAGGCATGGTTGCAGCAATAAATGTAATGCAAAAAGTCATCTGTGATACTTATAAATAACATGACTTTTCAATTGGAATATTAAACAACCACAAGTTGTTTCTTAATTTGGTCTTGTGTTAAAGACTCCCAGACACACATGACTATACACACCAATGAGTATATTCTGCTTCTCGGTGTACACACAGTTTTATTTCGTCTTAAAACATTGAGGCAAGATGTACAGGTCTCGTAAGTGAATACGAAACTACTTTAATGAATTCTAGCCTTTATTATTGCTATAGCATAAAGGAATCTTATTCTCATTACTTATGTAATAAAAATGAACTAAATGACTTTTTCATTAATTTCTGATTTTAATGTACCTTGGTTTACATTATAAGACAGTGCTCAAAATTACACGTGATATTACTTCCATATTACATGTTAGGATATATATATATATATATATATATATATATATATATATATATATATATATATATATATATATATATATATATATATATATATAAATTCATTTTTCTTGAGCTGTCTTAAGTCTTAGCTGTGTGCTTGAGAAGTTAAGAATTGTTGTATGTCTTAACTTTTGCGTGTGTGTGTGTGTGTGTATGTGTCTGCGTGTGCTATAATCCCATTACAACTCACAGGTATCACATCTGTCAAATAATTCTTAGCATACTTTACGTATGCCCATATGTTTTTTTTAACAGGAGCCATATATATGCAGTCTATAATTACATTCATATTTTAGTAGCTCCTTCCAGGTGTGTGCTGGGATGCCAGAGTTTAGTAATAGGCACAGATAATTGTTTTACTTTGCCTCGTTGTAATTATATATTGACCGCACTGGCTAGTTTAACCTATATCTTGAGGTTATCTTGAGATGATTTCGGGGCTTAGTGTCCCCGCGGCCCAGTCCTCGACCAGGCCTCCACCCCCCAGGAAGCAGCCCGTAGCAGCTGTCTAACTCCCAGGTACCTATTTACTGCTAGGTATCAGGGGCATCAGGGTGAAAAACATTTTGCCCATTTGTTTCCGCCTCCACCGGGGGATCGAACCCGGAACCTCAGGACTACCAATCCGAAGCGCTGTCCACCCAGCTGTCAGGCGCCCTAAGCCCAGTATAAAATATAAATGCAAAATTTGCTTAGAATATGCACAATCTTTATATTTTAACATGCCATTAATTGACGATCAGTAAGACATTGAAGTTTCTTTGCCTATAAACAAACATATTAATTTAATATGTTATCATTCATTTGTTATTGAATCTGAAAGTGGTTTAATGGCTCTGTAATTTTGCTTAACCTTTCTAATCCGTGGTAATGGAAATTCAACTTTGGTTATATCTTGTGTAGGTATAAGAGAGAGCATTGAGATCGGTGCCCAGTCTTATTGGTTTGGGCTCAAATGACTGCATAGATGCGTACGCAAAGGACCCACAGATCTATTCAGTTTTATAATTACTATTACAATTAATATTATAACATTTTTAATGTTATCCTCAACCATTCAACCATTTAATGGATAAACGGCCGGCTACTACAAATATTAAGTTGCATGGCCTTCCTTGTTTGACCATAATAAGAAATGGAAAACATTTACAGTCTGATTATGTAAGGGACACGAGGTTATCTCATTGGCATTTAGGGACCCGGGAAGCCTCTTGGCTGACGTCCATTGTTAAGCTTAGTCATATCATCTTATTAGATGCTTAGATGATACTCATCTTATTAATGCTTAGTCGTCATTAATATACCAATGTGCTTTAATATACTTACTAATCTATCTCATCTCATTTTTTTCTTGCAATGTATCTGTTATCATTTTATTAATTCTGCTAGAATTTACCTACTTAAAATTATCTGTTAGATTAAGGACCTGCCCGAAACGCTGCGCGTACTAGTGGCTTTACAAGATTGTAATTACTATGCTATGTATTCTCACAAACCCAATGTACCTTCTTGTATATATAAATAAATCATCTAGTAGAATGATATATAGTCATACTGGCCTAGTGCTTTTTCTGATAAATCCTAGTAGAATGTCCTCATTTTCAGCATGATTGGAAGCTTTGCAACCAACTGTTTCTTAGCAACAAATGTGCCTCGATAAACTCTTTTGTAAGTTTACTCTCTAAAGCTTACCTACTCACAATATGCATTGCAGAGTTGTCTGTGCAGTCGAATAATATAAAGTTTTATAAGGTAAATATCTTTGAAGTACATTGATATTTTTATCTTCACTTGCTTCAGATGAACGATCAGGAGACTATGCGCCGTGACATGACTCAACTGATGGCCGCAGTTGAGGACCTTCGCGCTCAGAACCAGCGGCAGAGAGCTCTTCTGATTGCCCTCATGAACGTCAGTAACCGCAACCAGAACAGGGAAACCAGCGAACCAGACATAACCAAATATGTCTGATAATGAGGAACAAGGAAGGAAGGAAAGAGTCAGTGGGTTAGTGCAAATGGAATACATCCATTGTGATGTATGTTCACAACGACGTTAAAGAAACAATTGCATTTAAATACCAGAGAAAGCATATAGATAGTTTGCTAAAAAGTGTTCTCATTCAGTGCAACTATTTGCATTGCAGTACAAAGTCAAATCTATAAATTTTGTATTTTACACCTTATATAATAATAATTTAAACATAATCTTTACTTCACCTTTAGAGATTGAATTTTAATGAATCTGTTCTTATTTGTTTCTTAGAATGATAGTTATAAATATTTATTTAAAAACTTGATGAAAGTATATTTAATTTACAGTGTAGATTCTTGCCTTTTTTTTCTTAAAACAATGATCAGACGTAGTCAGCTGACCTTTAAGTGCTTATTTACAATAACTGCCCAGTACTGTTTAATTAAAATAACTGTTCACTACTGTTTATTTAAAATAGCTTCACTACTGTTTATTTAAAATAGCTTCACTACTGTTTATTTAAAATAGCTTCACTACTGTTTTTTTTACGATAAGAACATAAGAATAAAAAAAACTGCAGAAGGCCTATTGGGCCATACGTGGCATCTCCTATTTATATCCTCCCAGACTTATACATATACAGTATATGCCTAACCTGTGCTTGAAACAGTCAAGGTATCCTACGTCTATTATGTTATTCACCGACTGCCCCCTCCCCTTTAAATTGTTTAAATTCAATACAATAACTCCCGGGTGATCGATTTAAAGAAAATCTTGGATTGGTACATGTTATTTTTGCTCCCGGCCGCAGGTTCGAATCCACGTCACGGCCCCTTGTGGATTTGTTAATAAGTATCAATGTTTACAACTTCATTTATGTAACGTGTTTGTTTCCTCTCTTCCATTATTAATTGTCAAACTGAGACCATAGGCTGCAATTCATCCTTCTATTTAGTACCTATTGTGACGATCTTCAATAGTTAGAATTTGTACGTTCTTAGCTTTTAGATAGTAGGAATACAATTATTTACTAACAGCATGTGGGTTAGTTATTAGCTTTCTCTGTCTTAAGCTGTATGGGTGGTCGATGGAAAGAAAATCTTAGATTGGTACATGTTGTTAATTTTTGTTATTTACATATATATATTTTGTAATATATAAAAATATCATTAAACCACATTAGTTTCAATCTCCTTTAAATTTCAATATTTAGAAATACTGTATTAGCATTGTATATTTAGATTAAATAACCAACGATCTTTATAAGTGTTTCTTACTTTTACAGCTTGTGCTACGGGCTCACCATGGCCCGTGCTACTTGGAACTTTGTTCCAGGTAGCGAATCTTTAACAACAACATACAGCTTGTGGTAATTAGTTATTCATGTTTTGCTTTATGTGAAATTAATAATATACAGTATATAATCCTTTTTAGTAAGCGATCATGACAAAACTCTAGCGTATTCCATCCTCTTCCGCAGTTTATTCATTTTCTTGACACGTCTTCTGCTCTGCTTCAGCCTTCTTATTTCGTAGCCTATGAGCCTCCTAACTTCTAGACCCACTCCAGTCTCATTCCCAAACCCCCATCCTCTTCCAGAATTTTTATTCCTCATCCTTCTTCCTCTCCACCACCGTCTCCAAGCTCTTTGGACATCGGACTTCGGACCTCCCCAGTCAACTCCAGCCTCCTGATTCATCATCCATCTGACATGTCAGTCCACCTGACATTGCACAGTCATGCCAATGCATCACCACACAACCTGTCCTCTTAAAGAACGTCGCTTTTGACCGTTTGCCCGTATGGCCGAATATGGACGTAATTTGAAAATGAAAAAAAAAAATGAATATAAATTTGGGATTTTTTAACAGTAAGTTAAGGGTCCTCTGATAGGTGGACAGGAAATTCTCAGTTTCAAAACGGTATGAAAAACGTTAATGGAAAGAATATAATGGAATAAAAAGACTTGTCTCTACCTCTGTCCTTCACCCGCCCGTATTATATTTACTTCAACTTAAATCCAAGGGACCCCAGAGTTAACTTTGCCGAATCCCGCGCCACGTGGTCTCGGAAGCTCGATCGGCTAAGATTCTACAACCCCCGTGACGTAGTACTAGACTTCTAACAAACTCTAGGATCTCCTCCTGCTGCCACCACCAGACCATTAACCAGAAGCGTCAATTAATAGGGGTCTGGACCAATTAATCAACCATTAACCTTGGGGCTTAATCCCCAAATTACTTGGAAAAGGAGGGATGAATCTACGTTCAGTGTGGGAATTACAGATAAGAAGGGGATATATATATATTAGCTCTTACTTTGCTAGGCTGGTCCATCTGGTCACCATTTGGTCCGGGAGACATCTCCCGTCACGCTGGGTGCAGTCGCACCTCCACAGATGGCTCAAAAGGGCCACCACTTACAAGCTATTCATGCCCGTGCCACCTTTTGGATGGCTTAATCTTCATCTTAACACATTCACAAGGGAGACATCTCCCGTCATGCAGGGTGCATTCGCACCTCTACAGCTCTCCAGTATCAGGATACTGGTAATGGCTTTCACTTAGGGCTATTCATGCCTGTGCCACCTTTTGGGTGGCTTAATCTTCATCAGTCAATCAATCAATCTTGCTAGGCTGGCGACCCAAATAAACTCTGACTCGCGGAGACAAGGACATGTAAAAACATTCATGGAAAACAATAAAATACATAGAACACTCTAATCATTTATTTATGCAAAATCTAAACAAAAACTAAATAAAATCACTCCCTAACTGAACACTTCCTATTGAGGCATGAAATGAACTATTTACCTATAAATACTCTTAGCAACTGTACCTTGTCTTAAGCGACGAACTGATGGAGTACTGATCGTTTGGAGAGGTGAAGATGGTTGCCCTCCTCGGTCACTGGCCTAGTCCACACTGTCTACCTAGCTCCCTCACCACTAGCGAGAGCTAGGGAGTATCAATCCGCCAGGATACTAGTTTACTAAGCAGGGTTTAAATTGAACAACTAATCTCTGTTGTACTGAACAACCCAGATGGTTGAACTCTTTTAAACTGAAGGTAATTGTACAGGCATCTTAGGGAAAGGCTATTTCCACTTATCGTATTAGCTAGTGATCTGAATTTGAACGTTGTGAATTACTAAATATGGAGAGTATTGGTGACCCCCTTGACCCAGGGTGACCAAGATTCTGACGCCAAGCAAGTTAGTCCCCTCCTACTCTACATGACGTCACTATATTTGATGATATACGAACCCTGATCTCAATTCATTCTACATACATGTAAATCTAGCATACCTACATAGCCACATTAGTTATTACTGTATTTACAGTTATTGTTAAATAATTCATTACATGTTGCTTTAAGACAAAGGCGACGGCCATTTTGTATTCTGACGTGTTAATCCCAGGGGAGATACCTATGTTCCAAAGTCTGGTCGACTACCTTCTGACTCCATATTTTGTACAAGGACGTATGCCACTGCCTTCCATACAATTATTTTAAAAGTTTCAGTTGTTACAACCCCCCCCCCCCCCCGCATAAGTAAATTAGTAAACCTTGTTCTTTTTTACATAATATGAAAAAAAAATGAGGTTTAATATCCAAACCCTCAATCAAAATCAATAAACCCATGCCTCAATCAAAAAGCTACCCTATCTAATAAAAATAACAATCATCAGATTGTACAGCAAACATCACAAAATAAACATTTCCAAATTCATCAATCTCCCGGCTGTCAACTGATAGCAATCGTCCAACATCAGGAAACGTACATTCTACACCTGACTGACTTAGCTAAACAAAATATCCCTAATCTGTCATCAAAAGCTAGCTAATAAAATTCCTTGACTCTTCATTAGCCAACCTCGTGTGTCCCCTAGAGCCGGACAATTTTGTCCCCATTGCCTCAGAGACACTTGGTGCCTGGGGTAAAAGTGCTGCTAGCTTTTTGAAGGAGCTGGGGTCCAAGCTAATTGAAACAACTAAAGACCCTAGCTGCCAGTTTTCTCTTTTAGCGCCTTAGTGTGGCGATCGAGAGAGGAAATGCTCACTGCATCCATGGTTCCTGCCCGCCATCTGAGGAGCTGGAGGAGCTATACAACTTGTGACAAGTAGTCTTGTACCTTGCATGTAACCAATGTTGTAACCCTTTTTGTGCAATGAAATATTAAAATTAAGTTAGATATATATACACACACACTAAAATAATAGGGGTGGTAGGAGAAGAAAATATCAAAGTGTTCAGTGAGGATCCACAAGGTCTTCTCTGAGTACTCATTATTTTCTTCTCCGAGGCTATGGGTCCCTACACTTGCACCAGAGGTGGTACCCTTTTATATATATATATATAATATATAATATATATATATATATATATATATATATATATATATATATATATATATATATATATATATATATATATATATATATATGTCGTACCTAGTAGCCAGAACGCACTTCTCGGCCTACTATGCAAGGCCCAATTTGCCTAATAAGCCAAGTTTTCATGAATTAATTGTTTTTCGACTACCTAACCTACCTAACCTAACCTAACCTAACTTTTTCGGCTACCTAACCTAACCTAACCTATAAAGATAGGTTAGGTTAGGTTAGGTAGGGTTGGTTAGGTTCGGTCATATATCTACGTTAATTTTAACTCCAATAAAAAAAATTGACCTCATACATTATGAAATAGGTAGCTTTATCATTTCATAGGAAAAAAATTAGAGAAAATATATTATTTCATGAAAACTTGGCTTATTAGGCAAATCAGGCCTTGCATAGTAGGCTGAAAAGTGCGTTCTGGCTACTAGGTACGACATATATATATATATATATATATATATATATATATATATATATATATATATATATATATATATGCCCAAGATTACTATCCGAGTGCCGGCGGTGGGGTGGTTCAAATAGCCTCGGCTATCACCTCATTAGTCCGGTCGTGATGGTCAAGTGGATTAAGGCGTCTTGTACATACCAGTTGCGTGGCATCTGGGAGTATGGGTTCGAGTCACTTCTGGGGTGTGAGTTTTCAGTTGCATATTGTCCTGGGGACCATTCAGGCTTGTTCGCATTTGTGTTCCTCACGTGTGCCCCAAAGAATGAGGTGATTTGGTAAAATGCTATGCCCAAGATTACTATCCGAGTGCCGGCGGTGGGGTGGTTCAAATAGCCTCGGCTATCACCTCATTATGTCCGGTCGTGATGGTCAAGTGGATTAAGGCGTCTTGTACATACCAGTTGCGTGGCATCTGGGAGTATGGGTTCGAGTCACTTCTGGGGTGTGAGTTTTCAGTTATATATATATATATATATATATATATATATATATATATATATATATATATATATATATATATATATATATATATATATATATACTACACACACTACATGGGGAAACCCAGCTTCGTCCATGTCTCTTTCCCCCCCCCCCCCACCTCCTCTCTTCCAAATGTGTCCTCTTTCATCCCTTTTCCTCTCTCCTCTTCCCGGTCCATTTTAGTCCCCCAACATCCTCTCACACTCACCCTCTCCACACTCCCTCCTGCACCATCTCTTCTAATCTTCCCCTCTCCTCCCTTCCACCCTCTTTCCCAATCTCCCCCCCCCCCCTATCCCTCAACCCCCCTCTCTCCACCTTTCTCTCTTCCAACATCCCTCTTACTCCCCCTTTTCTCCTGCAGATATTCTTAAAGCCTGGCACTTGGGAAGACAACTACTGACTTATGGTACTCACATAGCCTCATGTTCCTTATGTAAATGTTGGATGTGGTTACCCCCGAGCGTCTGGTTTCCTATTTTGGACAGTCATTTTGTTGTATTCATATAAATATTAGTTGTTTGTAATTTTAAAAAATCGGCAGCGTGGATCATGTACCTTAGAGCAAGTGATTTGTAACACCGGCATTACATCTGGGCTTAAGGTGTTCCATTGTCGGGGTCAGGAAGCCTGTTTGGCTTATCAAAGTACCCCATACCTTAGCCAACACCTGACCTCCCCATGATGTAACCCACAATAGCTGCCCGACTTCTTGGTAGTTGTTTTAATGCTTGCATAACACCCCAAGCATAAAGTGAAAAGGGACAAAACGTCCTTGTCCTGCTGTGGGAATCAAACCTGGGGCCTTTCGGTTGTGAGCCGACTGCCTTCACTACTGCAGCATACTGCGTGTTTTAGATGAAACCTAGTCTTAGCACAGTACAAACTTAAAATATTAAATATATATTTAGGTGTACCCAATACCTAAACCAGTCGGTCATCTTAATGCTTCGCTCATCACCTTTTGTTTTGTTTTTCCAACGGCTAATACTCTAATAATCCTGGTTAGTTCAGGTTAGGCTATGTTTTGTTTGGTTAGGTCACATTTGGTAAGGTTACGTTGATTAGGCTTATTAACTCACGAAAGAAAACGTAAATTTTTGTATCCAAATAGTAAATACGCCTGTGAACGAATCATTTTGCACTAAGATGACCGGCCGGTTACAGTGTAATCGGAAAAATATATTTAGCAATTAGCAATTATAATCCTGTTATGAAGTCACAAACGTTTTGCTGACTATTTATTTATGTCCATAAAACGCACAGCTCTCGATAGTCTGGGACGGCAAGAGAGAGGGCCGGTAACAAGGCAGTTGGGAGGATATGTAGTTAGATGAACCATCGTATTAGTGTGAAGGGGGAGAGTCCGTCAGTCACTGGTAGCTTGTGAGGGTGGACGGACGCGTGCCGCTTATGTACAGGCTGTCATGGCTCTCTTTACCACCTGGAGTTTTGTGGTGATGGTGACGTGTGTAAGTAATGTTTATGTTTTGAAAAAGTGTCATCTGAGCTCTGTAAACAAAGATTACTGAAGGATATGAGCTGTTCTTTAGAGTTCGTATTATCATGTGGTCGATGAGTTGTGAAGGATTAGCTTCAGTTTTCGAAACGGATGATTACAAATTTGGAATTTTCAACTTTTAAAAAATATTTTTAAATTTTAAATACGGTAATACAGGGTTAATATTAAATTTGGGTTATCCTCATGGCAACTGGACTTGTTACCATGCAGAACCTACCCTCTGACATTCTTTGTGGCCCTTTCCGCCCCAGAGTCCTACCTCAAGACGGTAGCTTTCTGAACTCTACGAAACACATAAGGAAACTTTGCAGTTTAGTAGACTATTGATTTACTTTGATAAGAATGAAGTGTTGAAAAATTCTTGCTACTTGTTGCCTTGTTCGCTGGTGAATAGTTTGGCAAGTGTTCATATTTTTGTTTATAGGACTTTATTAAATTCGACATGTATGAAACATGTTGCTGTTGGAATGCATTTTATCGATGGCTAAAAGTACTAAACAGGTACTTGCATTTTGTGGTATGGTAAATTATATATGTTGGCGGAACTAAATTTGTTGCACAATTTCTGAAGCTCTCGTGATTTCTCTTGCAGGTGGCGATTTCTAGGGCGGGTGTTTTGCCCATAAAGAAAGGTAAGTTGTAGACTGTATACTCTTGGTTTTAAACATTTATAAAAGTTGGTATATTTGCAGGCGTTTGAACGCTACTTTTTTTTTTTTTACTATTAAGACGCCAGAAAATTGAGGGGATGCACTCTTAAACCGTTTACTAGTTGACTAACTTATTGTTTACAAGCGCTTAAAACTGCTAATGTTTAAAGATTCAAAAGCCATATCTTTTTTTCGTAGAATGTGAAATCTGCTGAACATGGTTAACGTTGAACATTGATGTTAACGTCCTGGTGATTTTGAAGTTTAACTGGATGATAAATTCGTTAGACGAAAATGTAAATTTTTCATACCTAAATAAAGTATAGCCTTCAGGAACATGGGCAGTGTTAAAAGTAAGCGCAAGTTGACACAATAGGAATTTTATTACATATAAATTAGAATGTAAGTTTGTCGAAGTGAGGCTGTAGCTTGATGTCAGAGGTTGGATTCAGAAACTGAGATTACCAGTGATAAGAATCTTAAGTTTAAGATCGAAGTTCGGCTCATATGGCCCTTCAATTTGAAGCAGTCTGGACCGTATATATCGGATCAGTCGCGAAAACTGATAAATGTTCTGCTGCTAGTGGGGAAAGGCCCTAATGACCGGCCATTTTGCTTTTTCTCCAAGCCGGTCATTGGCACATCCACGATTAAATCTAAGTGGTTATAATCTATTAAGTGTCTGGCTGTGGAAGTCTCTTCCTCAGCTCAACTTCCCTCCCTCCCTTTCTCTCCGTCAGAATTAGTATGTACATGTTGAATGTAAATTTATGCACCTGCCCTTCACGGAGAGGTACATGGTGTAGACCAGTTCCTGCGTGATGCTAAAAATTCTCAATCACACAGGATGGTTAGTCGTGCTTGGCCATGTGATAATCTCCACGGGCAAACTTAGGGCGTACTATGCAGCCCATCATCCTGTTAAGACAGTACTTGCAGTAAAGATGTGGACCATAGAACAGTGTTATTTGGTACTACTGAATTTGGGGAAATCGGGAAAGGTTTAAAATTAAACCTGGCCCATATAGACAATTTAGTTCTAATAATGCTTTAGAATCGGCTACTTGTAGTAGTTCAAAACAGCACGGATTATGGTGAACCCATAGGCTCACCATAACGTTTTATCTGTTCCTTTGCCAGGTAACTAGCAAGTGCCTATTGCTATAAGAGACCTAAGAATTTTTTTTAGCTTCCTTTTTTTTCCAGACTATAAAGGGAATGGTACCAGTTATGTAATTATGTAAATAACTGTACGGTGATCCAGTTACTGTAAGTAATATCTAAACACAATAGGCTGCATTATACGAATATTGGTGACTAGTGACTTTACAACTCCAGGTACAAACTCATATCGGCATATCTAATAACGTGGCAGTAAATAATGTAGATTAATGACTTGGTTCCTACTGTTTGCAATGATCAATATCAGGATTTGGAGATTAATCACCCGTAGCAACTTGTCACAGGTAACGAACCACTGGCAACAACTGTAGCACTGTCTGTTGGAAATCTTGAGCTGCCCATATAGCTTATACTGATATTTTGAGGTATTTTGAGAGCATGACTTCTCAAATGAAAAATTTAAGTGCTGAAACTTAATTGTATGGAAAGAACCAGTATTTCCAGTCGTGAAGATCGCCGTGGGTTGACTATGAATTGACTCTTGAAAGTATTTAAATGGAACAAACACAACCTGACACACTATCCAACCTCTTGGAAAATGCATGAAGATGGCCCCAAGTCTGGCCTCGAATCTGACGCCGTACATTCTATTTTAGATAAAGGTTTAAATACTTGGGCTAATAAAGTACGTTAACTTGCAAAAGTGCTAGGTATATAGTGTAAGAACGTAGTCTTTACCCTTATTTCTTCATCAGAGACCAAAACAGGATATAGTCTTCTCGCTGGTGGCCATTTATACGGCTCTTCTGGCACCTACAACTCCTACTTCGACCCGGAATACTACAGGGACGAGTGCGAGAGCCAACTCCTTACGTGCGTCCCGAGAGCAAATTGCTACGTAGATACACCGGGTAAATAAGTAGTATTTAGTAGCTTGATAAATATTAAAATTAAAGAACCAAATGGCGTTTTCTTTAATGCCGATCTCTTGAAGAAACACAAGTGTTATTAAATGGTTTTAATTTTCAGATCATAGCGGGGAAGGTCACTTATGTCCAGTAAATTTCGTAAGTCATTCAGGTTACTGTATTTTCCTGAGCAAAGGTGGGAAGGTGAGAGAGCGTTCCCAGGCGCAGGTGCACGACTACTGCAGGCGCCTCGGGACAAGACCATTTTACTTTCAGAGTACTGAAGTAAGTAGTTGGTATTTTAACTATTAATTTCCTTAATTTGGCGAAAGCAGTTTAGCTTGAATGTAAACTTAGTGCAGTCGGAAGATCATACTTCTGACTGTCTTTAGAAAAGATTTTGTCCGTAGCATAACTAGCATAAGACCTGGAAGGCTATTTTCTTGATCCTAGTAAATTTAGTTAATAGGTTTGACAAAAAAAGCATGTTCTCAGAACTTGCCTATAACTAGAGCTAATATTACTTGCCTAGTGATGGTCCTAAAACATGTTTTTGAATAAAACTGCCTGTACTGTTGCAGAAATCTTGTATAGAGTATTATATTAAAAATCCTCTACTTTAAGTGTTCCTAGTTTTGTCTAATACGAAAATAATGGCAAGCATAGCCTTCCCGATTACCAGTAGTATGAAAGTTACCATTAAAATGACCCAAAAATTTATTTCAGGAATGGGAAGAGTTTTTATCTTCTGTGAAAAGTAAAAAAATTGAGATGGCAGTTGACAAGACGTACTGGACGGACGCGCACTGGGACGATGAAGACCATCGGTGGGAATGGCGCTCCACCAATGAAGAGATTGAGTGGGAAAAGTGAGTATTTGCCAGGTGTCAGTGTGAAATTTCTAGAACCCTCGGGACTTTACTGAAAATGGAAACTTCTAATGAAAGTTCAAAGTATTATTGATGCAATGAATTTGTTTGTGCCTATGCAGGAATATTTATATAATGGATAACTAAATTTTAAATTCTTAACTGCTACGACAGGGTTTAAATTAAACTAAATTAGTCGGAAATAATGCCGCCGGTATTTTTCTTTAAGGCTAGACCAGGTTGTATGGTCTCAAACCTTCATGTACCACTATCTAATCTGAAAGCATGAAAGTGTTAAAATACTACTTGTGAAAAAAGATGGTAGTTAGCGGTGCCCCAGTCCTTTCCCCTCCACCCTTCCCTTTTTCCCGTAGTCTTCACATGTCTTCCTCCCCACTAGGAACATGCAACACAATAAATTGATGTAGAAAAAATCTTGGTCATGTTGTAACAACCTACAAAATTTTTGATTAAAACAACGTGGATACGTTAGGATGTAAAGAACAGCGGAGCCTTTAGTAACTAGGAAAACTAAACACCCACTTCAGAATTAATTCTCTAAGATTTAATTAATTTCTTGGAAAGGAATGATAGGGGTGTAGAGGTTCGACCCTGATCACCCTATGACACTTCATACTCTAACACATTTAGTTACATCTGCATCTGTGCAGCTACCTTAGACCATGTGAAGAAAAGTACAGCGTGTCAAAAAAAACTAGCTACGTGATGCTAACAATCCCCATAACATGGGATGGTTGATCATACAAAAGGCATGTGGCAAGTAGTCTGCACTGACAAATTGAGTGCATTATGAAGATTGTGGGAAAATTGTCAAGATACAATGAGACCTAGACCTGTACTGTACTAAATTAAAAAATTAGTTTGCAAAAATAATTACTGTCCCCTAGCTAGGGTCGTAAATTCTTTTTCCTAAAGAGACTGTGGCAGTAAGGGGCAGGTGTGGGGGAGGGGGGTCCCTAAAGGTAAATGGAGAAGTTGATTGAAGATCCACAATCAAATTGCAGACAATTTTACTAATCGGCTTGTATGGTTAATACAAGGATAAGATTTAATAACTGAATACTAGTTGTTTAAATCGGATCTAAACATGTAGTGTCCAGCCTAGCAACACAACTAAAACGGCCAATATTCATATACTAATAAACACAACAACGTGGTATGATGTATGAATATGCAATCAAATGACCTAAAATGTGGTCAAAGTACTAAACATTACATTAAATTTATTTTAATTTATCATGTAATTATAACTAGGCAATTGGTAACTTAATGCATGATTAGTTATATAAAGATTCAGTTGCGCTTGACTGGACTTTTCAATGCCAATGACTAGAGGGCGTGTACCTCAGTGTAGGTGAATTGAAAAGCTTCAGTTGCTGCAAGATTAATAAAAACCTTACAGAAATGAGGCGTTGCCTCACCCTGTAACAAGACTTGCTTTATATATCAAGGTTATACAAGCACGCAATTGGCCAATAAACACAAAACACTCGATATACTTATGTCCGGGTGCTTGTCTGAAGAGTTGCCAGACAAGTTAAAACTCTTGTACAGTTTAGGCACTTTTGTCACAGCTTTGCTGTTTGTTCTGGTAGCGTTGCTAGTTATGTCCTTAATTGCGTTTGCAGTAAGATATCTTGACGGTGGAGGCGGCGTCACAGGTGTGCTCCACTCTACACTTTTAGATAAAGTACTAGGAATTTTCCTTTTAGATATTGTCCAGGTACCCTCTCGGTTCTAGAGTAATCACTGGTGATTCATGTTATGGTGTCCTTTACAGAATAATATTCGCAAGGCAGTCACACTTGTTCACTCTGTAAACACTAAGCCTCGGGGCGCTCCTTAGGTCGCTTCTCTCCCGAGTTGGCTCATCCTTAGAGGGTAGCTTTCAACGAATATTGATTATTTTTACTGTAGACATACGATTAAGATATATAATTACATATAAAATTTAATTTTAAGTACTTGCTAGTACTATTGATTCTTAAGTATTAGATTTAATACTTACCGGAAATAGATTGAATGTTCCAGTAGCTTTTTAATAAATTCTCGAAGCTTCTAGATCCTTGAAATCGTGCACGAAGTCACGTAAGACACCTTGGGCTTATGATGTGTGTGTGATCATAGGCATTGTCATGTAAGATATAATGAATCTAGTGATTGAGGATTTTGATATTGATTTTAATATAATTTACATGGAAATAAATTTTTGGTAATATATAGTGGGTAAAATTTCCCACAAGGATTTCCTCAAGAACTAGTGAATAAAGAAATTGCAAAGCTCCAGGTACCTCATACCAATGGGGTCTGAATGGTCTGATAACTGGGCATTAGGTGATGTAGTGTGGGGGACGTATTGTGCTGCCCATAAACGTGGGTTTCAGATCTGAAGCTTTTTTATACTGGTGCTTTAAAGTCGTAGAGTCGGTAATCTCTTTACTATCAGACCTGTGTTTGGAACAATATAGTTTTTACAGGAAATATAAAATTGCCATGCAAAGTTTCGTGAGGCTAGCCCCGAACACGATAATGGCACTTGTAACCTCAAAATTGGTTGCTCACGTGTTTTAATGGCAGACCTTCAGTGCAAAGTGTGGCCTTATTAATATAAAACTAATAGACTTGTGTTCACAAATTGCAGGATTATTAGAGGAACAAATTGCTACAAAGAAAACAAGGAAGCTATTGAACACGAGGAAGGTTGTTTGAGTATGTCTTACGATGTGAAGGCTAACTGTCTGAGGCTACGCAAGATCGACTGTCTGATAAACTTGCCCCTTATTTGTAAAGCTGGTACGTAGAAATAATTTTGGGAGGGGTGGTTGAAGGCTAGGATAACTTGGTTTCTTTAGTTTAACTTTGTGCAGAAACTTTGTAGTAAAATCTCTAAAGCTTATTAAATTATTAGACCACATTTGTCTTGCCTTCAGGTAAGCACAAGACCCGGTGTGCTGAGAATAAGGAAACGGTATGCTGCTTCTCCCCGACCTACGAGTACTTTAATCTCAACAAATACGGTGGTAAAGAATACGCATCCAACAGTTTCTAAAATGTTGATACTAAATTATCATAATATAACTGTTCCAGGCATAGTGGTAACTATTAACTTGTCTTGCTTTCTTTAGTTTTAAGGGATTGGGGAACCTGTCTTGAAAGCTTGAGGGCTTTCTAAGCTTCGACCAGTAATGAAGGCTTTATTGCAGGTCCCGGGTCTCAAGGCGTGCACGCTCCCGCTAAGAGCGAATGCTGGGTACTCCTGCAGGGGCTCGCCCGGGTGGTAGAATGTCGCCAAGGTGAAGTTTGTCAGTTCTGAAATTTGTACATTAAATATTTTTGGATAAGGCCAGTTTTCAGTTTTAACATGGTGCCAAACCAGCTTGCATGGTAAAAAGATTTGCTCAATCCTAATCTTATTTAGTATGCAAGGCTTTTTTTTATAAAACTCTTCCATGCTCTTTAAGAATAACTCCCAGAAATTGGGCATAAAGCGATAATTTTCAAATTTAAAATAGAAAAGATGGCTTATAGTAGATTAATATAGTTTAAATATTAGAATCTTTATAAAGCTTCGACAGGCCATTTAGTTGAGCCATCCTCCTAGCTGTGTCACATCATATAAATATGGATGTGATGGACCAATAAAAATATTTTCTATACTGAATTTGGAAAAATAATTTGTTGCTAATAAAATTAAAACATTCTAGGCCAAATACATAGAGGCGTAATAATACTTGGGTACTATACTACGCCTAGAAATATTTTGGCTAAATTCTTCCAGACTATAAAATGAGTGAGTTCTACTAGTTTATCCTTCACGTAGATATTTAAGATCGTAAAGTTACAAAATAATTTTATCGGGAGCATGGGGGGTTAAAATAAAAACGTAAAGTTAAAAACATATTCTTTACTCAGTGGGAAGCAGAATAGCTTAATATAGTCAATGCACCTATTTAGTCGGAATTAAAAATGCTAAATTGTTGAATACGCCGCCTGAATTAGTTTAAAGGCTTGACTTCGTGGTTTAGGGAAAGATTAGATTAGTATAAGTGTTGCCAGAGCACCAAAGAAATTGTGTAGGAAAGAAACTGAGAACTTGTTGCAAGTCCGTGGAAATTTCAAAGTGGGTCAAAAATTAATCTGCAATACCATGTGAGAGTATTATAATCTCAATTCTTCGCACCTCAGCCCTGAACACACTGGGGAGTCTACGGCCACTTCCTCAACCTGTCAGGATAGAATCGTCTTACTTCTACTTCACTACTGGAAGGTGTCTGGGCGAGCGTAGGGCAGTAGTTTGGAGCAGGGAGGTTCACGACTTCATCGTCCGCTACATGATGACAGAAGAGGTGGCAATGGCCCATACGAGCTTCATTATCGGTCTACGCTACGAACCTGAAGATGACCAATTCCGTTGGGAAGATGGTAATTATTTAGTAGTTTTAAAGCTGTACAGCTGGAAATGTTTTTAAAAGCTTGTTATGCAATGAACTTCCTTGCAATAAACTTCCTTACCCAGGTAAGCTTGACAACTTTTATACGGAAACCTTCTGGGCGGACGGACAACCCGATAAGAAGAGTGGCGCCGACTTGTACAGCTGCGTTGCCTACAAGAACACTGGCATAAACGCCTACTCCTGGCACTTGATGCCCTCAAAATCGTGTTTAGGAGACTACACAATGAATGTCTGCGAACTGCCAATGTAAGTAATTACTAATGTAATTTATATATATGCGTAGCTTGATAGCTGAAAGTGAACTTTTTTGTTTATCTTCCGTAGAAGAGCGACAAGCGTACTGCCTACAGAGAAGAAACTGCAGTGTGGTCAAAGGCTAGAACGAGGAGTGTTGGCAAGAGGGGCGTTACACATAGATACAGAAAATTATAACGAAGCTTTGTATGGAGAATTTCCCTGGCACGTAAGTACTCTTGCTTGCACCTTCATGGAACGATTCTCTGTTTAACAGTGCATTAAATGCCTCCAGCCAAGTAAGCTTGAAGTAAAACGCTACCATGTAATTAGTATTTCTATAACAAGTCTTTGTAAAGAAGTGTACGAAGATTCAGGATGTGAAGTATCAGTGTAATTAAATTAGTATGTTATGTGAACGGTAATACTTGGTAAACTTATCTGCAGGGCATAGAATTTTTCGCAGAGGTAGAGAAATGTGTAATTTTAAATGTTGTATCTAAAATTTGACTTGGATCCACTTAATAGGAAGCCATTGTTTACATTACTATATCTTGTCTTGACTAAACAGTTCTACTGGTATTAAATTTTGACATAGATGCAAAGAAAGCTGCATTAAAATATCAACCTATCCTCAAATAAGTGCTTGTAGTAACTGTTTGGTAAAACTTACAAAAATACTGTTGGCACCCAAGTTATACTAAATGGCGTACTGAAATATTAAATTAGTTGCCATTAATAAGCATATTGGCTGAATGGGTCCATTTTAAAAGTCAACAAATTACTAAATATTTAGCATTTTAGAAGGTTGGGGGGGGGGGTTAAAATTGTAAACATTATTCATCTTTACAAACGGGTCAGTTTTGATTTAATGTAAATATATAGTTGCTTAGTTTGTGGTGCCCTATGCGCTGTTAATAGTTAGTTATGTGAGCGTTTCCTGTATGCATCTTTTTCATCGGTAAATTTATAAAATCCACTTAATGAAGTTTGATTAGGTGGGTGGCGGAGAATATATTCTGTTAATTCCAGACTTAATTTTCGCACAGGCAGCAGTGGTGCAACCCAAGAACACAGACAGAGGTGTAGTGATGTTTTTCGCTTGCTCCGGGGCGCTCATCCACCCAGAGTTCGTCCTTACGTCAGCCCACTGCGTCGTCTATAGCTCGGGAGACTTTGCGGCAAGTACAGCAAAACTTAGATTAATATTCTATATTTTAACTTGGACAAAAGTTGTGCAGTGAGAGTCGCTTTAGAGTATGGGAAGGGGCCGTAATCTATGGAAATGCTATAGTCGTCGGTGCTCTTTACCGAAGTTTTGAATATTTGTTTTGAATGCTCCATTTGAATGAATGGAGCAATTTAAGGGGAATGCAAAGTCCCCTTAAATTGCTCTACCTCAAATGTACCCGCAAGATTGTTGCAGCTCCTAGGACGCTGAATGGAAGATTGCGCTGTGGTCCGTGGACATGGCGAAAGCATTCCTCTTTTAACTACCAAATATGATAAGATAAATATTTCAGACAATGAACCCACGCTGTCTTTATTCTACAGGTAATTATGTACACTATTAACGTTCACAGACGCCTGTCTAACGACGGTTAAAATTCCAGTATATAGAGCTCCCTACGTAGTCCTCAAAGGTTACCGCCTCCTTTTAATTAACTCTCACTGCTCGCTAGAACACTTGCAGTATTTGGATGGTAATTATACTCACATTTTCCACAAGTTTCGTGCTGTCAGCATAGTAAAAATTCTAAAGAATCTTGACTTCCGGCCGACGTGTCGGTAATTTCTCAAAAGATAAACCTTCCTGAAGGTGGATTTTGACGAGGCAAAAGCCTCCTCTCTCCACACCCAAATCCTCTTCAAAGAATTTCGCCTCCCCATTCTTCCTGCCAACATCATTTCAAAAGTCCTTTGGTCATCAAAGCAAAAAGTGTGGCTCGCATTAGCGTTGTCTATATAAAACATTAACATAGCACGTACTTTAACAGTGCAAAAAATACTTTAATATTGATACAGCACAGGAGACTACAAAGTGACGGCACAGGAAGCTGTTGCAAGGAAAGTTTCTGAAAGTAGATTAAAATATTTCTGGCCTTCATTTTTATACTATGAAGTTCATTTTTTACGGCACGTAACATACGGTGTAGTTATATTTTCAAAGAAAAATGTAGTTAGTGTTGCAATTCTTTTAACTTTCAATTTGTTGCAGGTTTCGCTGGGAGAGTGGGACCTGTCTGAAGGGGCAACGAACGTCTTAAAAACAGTGTTGGTGACTGTGAATGACGTGATTACCCATCCAGGCGAGTTAATGTCGGACAAGTCCGGTTATGGGGAGTTGTGCTTTAATATAACTTGCATTATCTACTAAAACTGCAGTACGGTCATTTATTCTCGGTTAAGTTTATTTCTAGGTTAAATTATACACGCGGTGTACTATAGATAACCCTAGTATCTAATTTAATTATGAGAACCCTTAAATTAGGAAGACCTGAAATGTTTGATCTTTAAAAAGTGATGTAGTTTGTCGTGCAGGGAAAAATTCCTCCTACATAAAGGCCAGTAGTTTCCTAGATACTATTCGTCCACATTTTGGTGAAATTTTAGGAACTGCTTTAGTCATTAAATAAAATTTAATAAAACGCGTAGCTAGTGTGAATAGCGCATTAAATGTGGAATTTAAATTTAACATTTTTAAACCGTCACAAATTGGGCAACGGTTGTAATCTCGCCCCCCCCCTTTATCCTTTAGTCTTAATTTACATAGATTAGTTTTAATAAAAAAAACTTAACAAATTTGTTTGCCACAGGTTACAGGGTTACTGCATCGATGAAGCACGATATAGCATTGCTACACTTGGCGGAGTCTGTACAGGTGAATGCCCACCCGCAGCTGGGGCTAGGCTGCCTCCCCTTCCCTACACTCTTCTTCCAACAGAGCGGCGCCTGGGAGTGCTTCACTGTCGGCTGGCCTGACAAGTTCAGACGGAAAGGCTACAGCCTGCTCTATAATACAGCTTACAGCAAGCGACGTGTTAGTATCGCTATTTAGTTCCCCATGATAGTTAGTGTGAATGTTAGAACTATGCACACTGTATGGACGAAACTGGCAAATGGCTGTAAACGGCAGTAAATAACGTTTTAAACAATTTATGCCCTTGACGAAATCTGAAACGATGCACTTGCAAAATCAAATGTACTTACTCTGATAACGATATTAGTGAAGGTTAGCCACGCTGCACCCCCTAAGAGTTTCCTCCTTTCAGGAGGATACGAGGATCCTGGAGCGCATAGAATCTGAATTTATGGAAAGGAGGCAGTGTCGCAGTTTGACTCGTGACTACTACAGAATCCTGAGCTCGAATAAGCAAGAAGAGTATGCCTATGACAAAAAATATGGGTATCATCATTCTACCTATGAGCAGCATGGTTATTTTGAGTGAGTATGCACTGGTTAATATATAAAATGGATTAAATTGGCATAGTTGAATTGACAAGTGCAGCAGAGTTTGTCGTACAGGGTGGGTTTGAAAGAAGAAAATTGTAGCTTCCATGACTTGATATTGAATTTTCTGTGCTCCAAAGTGTTAAACAAGATATAAAACTTTGAACTGTCATTGGTTTAAATGGCAAAAGTAGCTATTTAGTGAGGTTACAGCTTAAACCAACTCTCAAAAGTATGAGCCCATTGTGCCTTTAAATTTTAACAGAGCAGCAGTAATTTTGTGCAACCCATAAATTATTATTAGTGAAGACAATATAGTGCATATGGCTAATAAACCTGTTCTTCCAGCTTGAAAGAGCCAGAGCTGATCTGCACAGTACCATACGGCTCTAACTACTGTTTGGTAAGTTCCCTTTACAGGAGAAAGTTACTTTAATGTAACATTTATAAAGGCTCTGGTCAGGTAGAGGGCAATGCTAAAAATATTCTTATTGTGTAACTACATTTTCTGCTTTAGTGGGAAGAAGAGTAGGTATAAAATCTTGCAGAAATTTGGCTCGGTTCAAATTTGTTTTAATCTTGCTGCAAATGAACAAATGTTTACCATGCATGCATTGTCAAAGCTTAAACTGGGTAGTCTTGGCAGTGGGTCTAATAAGTAGAATGCTGTCTAAATTGGTGAGAATTGAAATTCCAAAATTGATGCTGCATATTGACTTGCTTAATCTGCAGTTTCTCAAGGGTATATTACCAATGTTTGCTAAAATTTTAACTTTTTTTTTCCAGGATGACCTCACGCCAATCCTAATGTGTCGGCAAGCTACAATTTACACAGACGACCCGTTCTCCTTAAATGATATAGACCGAGGAATCCCGAATTTCATTAGTTCCTTTAACTCGAGGATAGTAAATGCTCTTGGGAAAGACAGGTTTGACAGTGAGAAGTGGTATGTAATGGGTATAGGCCACAACTTGAACCAGTGTAATGAAGAAGGCAGAGGGAGGAATTTCCAAGTGTTCACACCAGTCCATGAATACCTCTCCTTCATCCACTCGCATCTTGATGTCCAATACAGCGGCCATTCTCGTAAAGTTTAAGATGTAGATCTTGCTACGTAGATTAGTGAATGTAGATAACATTTTATTAAAATGTTGAAAGTAAAGTTTTCTGTTTATCCTATAAAGTTTCTAGGCCATAAATATTAAGACGAAGCAATAGAAATTGGTATAACTGAAATCATTATACAGGTGCCACTTGGTAATCTTAAATTGTCAGGTACAGTATACAGGTATATCCATTGGCAGCAAGGCATAAGATTAAATTTAAAATTTTATAACTGTAAAAAGGTTACCCAGTTTATTGAACTAACATATAATGTTAATGTTTTGATCCCACTGTATATAGAGCTGCAAATGCCTTTATAAAAAGGTAATGCTTGACATTTTCACCCAATAATTTTAATCTAGAAGAACCCCCTCACTGTCTGGCCCGTTGTCGCCGTGAGGGGGCTTGGTGGGCAGCTGCCGGAGTGTGATGCTCCATGGGTCAGTCCTCTGTACTTTTGCAGCCATATGCTCCTGCTGCTGCCTTTACCAATTTTGCCAGACCCCTTTTCCTGTTAAATTTTTCTCCCCTCTTCTCCTATCAAATTGTCATTTACTGCCGACCTCTTGCCTGTTTTGATTATTCTTTTGACATTCTTTTGTTTTGACGCCCGGGTGTTTGAGGAGGCATACTCTTGCACCTGTAGAACTGTAGTACCCAACGTCTCGAGCGAGGGGGAACCTTTTATTGTCAATCCTCCTTTTGTCACTGAACCCGCTCTCTACGGACTCGCGGTTCTTAAGGTGGTGTTTGTGGGGCGTATATTCACGACTCGCCCCTAAGGAGCCCCGGCAAGATAGGCGATAGCTTCTTGTTGGGTGTCCTGCCTCTAATTCTGGCTCCATGGTGGGTGTGGGGGCACATTCGTGAATTAAAATTTTCCCTCGTTTTCATGGCTGATAATGTTTCCCTTGTACTTTCTCGGGCTCATGGGGTGGACGACCAAGCCCACCCCATGAGGATATTAAACATCCTCGAAGCCCAAGGCCATTCTGTCCTCCAGGTGGACAAGTTTACTCGACCCCCTCGTGGTTGTCGCCGTCAGCCCCTTAGAGTTGTAAAAATCGCCTTTGATAGTAGGGCCCTTCCGCCCTTTATTATTCTTGCTGGTGCCAGATGCTCCATTCAGGAGTACATTCCCTCCCCTAGACTTTGCAATAAGTGTTGGAAGTTTGGGCACTGTGTCCTCAAATGCACCAGTACTGTGCATCTATGCCCCATGTGTGGAGAAGATAGTCATTCTAAGTCCAAGTGCACTTCTCCCCAGGGTCGCTGCCTCAATTGCGGTGGAGCCCACCCTATCTTCTCACGCTCGTGTATGCACTACAAACTCGAAGCCCTCCTCAACTTGAAGCACCGTGATCGTCTGTCTGATTCTGGTTTAACTTGCAGGCATTAAATGGAGCCCTACTTCCTATTGTCCGAACTGCATTGTTCCCTAGTCGTGCATAATCTTGTTGAATGTCTAGACTTCTGAATCTTGCTTCCTGCCTGGCCCTTGGCGAAACTGGTAACTTTGATATTGCTCGCCTTGTGCACTTTCGTTCTTTTATTGACATCCTTTGATATTTTGTTTGTTGATTATTGTGCAACTTTGATGGTGCCACTTTTTAATACATAGCTCACCTTCATTATATATAATCCCAAATCATTCAAGCATGTAAGAACATTTTGGTCTCGGTAAAACGGATATGGAAACTTGTTTATTGTTGCAATATATTGTTTAATGAAATACTGATCACTAACTTCAGAGAATAGTCAGTCCATCTTGAAAGACTAAATAGTTACATGTACCCATATTGACTCTTAATTTGTTACTTAACTACCATAGTTTTTAATCTTGAAGTGTACATTGATGGCAAACGTCCATCAAGTGACTACAAAGATAACTTGCATGTTTAATTTACGTTCAACCCTGTGGGCAAATTCGGTATAAGAAAATGTTAACGGGTGTACTTGGGTTAGACTTGGCATGGTAATTTCCAGCTTGGTATGCAGTGCACAAAATAATTGCCATTACAACACATAATGGAAGCTTTCATTGACTTTCTCACATTGAAGATGAAAATTTTTTTCCCAACTTCAAACAAAAGATACATTTGTACACTTATTTTTCTCAAACTAATCTTAAACTTAAATATGCATATTGCATTTGTGATTAGTTTGTGGACACTAGGTACAAACTCATAGCAGCTTCAATTAACTGCAAGATAAAATAGGTTTAAAATTAAACCTGAAAAAAATGCAGTAATTTTTTTTACTGAATTCATCTAATAAACTAATGGCATAATCTGGTATCAAGTACAATCAAGATGGTTCAGAAATCATGAATAAGCCTGGAACAAATAATGCAAGAATACAATTCTAAAGTTTGGCAAGACAATGAATAAAGATGGAACAACATCAGTGGGCTTGTGAAATGCATGTGTGGAAGGAAAGAGGAATATCACAGTATGGGATGGATTATGTATAACCATATTAAGTGGTGGTTTTCAGAATGACTGGCTGGAGACACAGTCTCCCTCACGTATTTGTCATTGCAAATTTCAGTAAAATGCAAGATTAAAGGAACTATATGTACGAATCAGCTCTTGGGGAAAAAGCTTGTGCCAAATTTAATATTTTATAAAAAAAAAAAGCTGTCAAGACAAGTGCAAAAGTTTGTGGAACATTGTCTAGGTTAAGTGGCATACAGGTTCTTTAAGTATTCGGTGACGAACAAGCAAAAATGGAAACTACAGTATTAAAACAATTTGGTATAGGGATGACTGGTATGAAACTAGGATATCCCCTTCATATTATATTTTAGACGACAATCTTGCAGCCTTTTAGTTTCTAGACAAAATAAGGTATTTACCAGAAGCAAATATTTCCCCTTTAGTGACATTCAGTTTCAAGGGGAATAGAACGGATGTACAATGCAAAGTAATATAGTCCTGCTTAGTGTGAAACCAATTCAAATGAAATTTTAAGGAATCTACAATAATTAAAAAACTAGCACATTGCACAAACAATTATGAAAAAAACAATTACATAGTTTGTAACCCTGTGGTGGCCTTTTATAGATGAAGATAGCGTTATCAAGATATAAATCTCTCCCTATAATTGAATGATTAACCTACAACATACCAGCAAGATTCATAGCATCAAAATTTTTTTTTTTAGTACAACATAAAATCAAATCAGATTAATATATGCCTAATATGTACAGCACTAAGTTATGAATTTGAATAAATTGTCAAATATGTGAGAAAAAAATTGTCCAATTTACTGTCATTAACCAACTGCTTTCTAATACAAACTTATATTAAAAGTTTTCTCCAGTCAGAGGCACATGCCAAATTTTTATTCTAGAAATGATATTTCATTTAGACCCTTAAATTCCACTTGCCATTTGAATTGTGAATTCAACATAAGTATTTCTGACAACTGAAGGTCTCTAGCTCATTATGTGCATTCACCTGCAATTTAATTTATAAAATAATTAATTGGATGGCTACAGTATATTGTACATCTGAAATACAAATCTAATTCCTTCTGGCCTAAAATTGGTAGGTGCAATCACATCTGATACAAGTGTTTTTAAGACTTATTCTATTGTTTAAAATTCTGAAATGGTACAAAAGTTTGGCAAGACAATTAGGGACCAAATTCCAGAATTTTTTTTAAGTTTATACAGCACACCCACAGAATATAACACCGCACACCTAAGTCGAATATTTTCTCCAACCTGCCACCATATTGCAAAGATAAAAATACTATATACTGTATTAGACAAAAACAAGATAACTTACGGTAAGCTCAGGAACCTAACAACATGAGCTAGATGATGCCAGTTGTAATTAGTTAAATTTGCAACCAGAGGGTTCCCTACCTTCTATTACAGGACACTTAAATATACCAAACTTCAGGAAATCTTGTAGAGAACTATATAACAAAGATATTAAATATACCATAATTAGTTCTCAAACCTGCCACCAGGGACTACACATATAACAATAGTAATAGAGTGCGGCACCATACACAGTTTTAATCGAGCTCGGATAAACTCACAAAGCCAAGGAACCTAGCACCGTGAATTAGATGGGCATTAAAATTTGTTTCCAACTTTTCCATAAGGAGAGTTATACATTCCATAAATAATATGGTAAAGTCTCAAAGTATAAAATTATACAGTACTAAATAAAAAAAAAATTAAATTTGAAAGTTTTAATTGGGTATTGGTTAAAATATCAAATTCAAACTACTGTATAATATCCATTACTAAATTTACTATCAGAGGGCTAATGAGCTCTAAACTGGTCCTAATTGTGTGTCAAACCTGAAGCATGTGTATCTAATGAAAACAATTGTATCTAATTTGTATAATGAAAAGCAAATTATCTCATCATTCCCCCCTCCCCCTCCCCCCCCTACAGTGCCAGGAAATATATAATGCTGTACTTGTTTCATAAACAGCTGACCAATACACCACATTATATGTCCCTGAGGTACATGAGTATTAAATTTGAATAAATTTTGTATGACTTGTATGACCATAAGCAAACACCTCCCATTAAAAATAATTATCAATTTTAACTCAAACTTGTGGGCTAAAAATATCAAAACTTACTCAGTAAACAACATGATTCCCAGTACACATATATAGCATATTTGAAGTGATTCGTTTCAACCATTTTCAAGATATTATCTAAAAAGCAGTAATACAAATAAAATCACAGAATACAGTATTAGTTCTAGTGAAAAAATTCCTGTGCCTGCAGGTTCAAATGAAATTATCCAGTACATTGTCTGGTATTAGGGAAAGCAGCAGCAAGTTTGGTGCAGATTTATAAATTATTTGCCATTATAATGGTCAGACACAGTGGAAGGGAACTATTAGGAAAAAGTGCCAAGCCATTACAACTATATAGCACTTGGATAGGATCAGGATGGGAAGGAATGGTGCCCCAACCACTTGGACGGTCCGAGATTGAACGCCGACATGCATGAAGCGAGACCGTTGCTCTATCATCCAGCCCAAGTGGTTGGGCATCGTCAGACACAGCAACTATGAAG